GGATTTATGTCTGGGATTGTAACGATATCAAGGGATTAAATGTTACAACAGTTATACATACACCTTGATCCAAAATATCAAATACATCAAAAAAATTTATGAAATGTCGTATTCTGCACTTTCTGATAATGGAATGCTTCAGGTATTTAGTTTTTTAATTAAATGATTATATGGAGCTCTTTAAAACTGTTCCCGCATATTCATGGCTATTTACTTATTTTCGCAAATACTGAGATTTACGTAAAAAATGAAAACCCCAATGAAAAATTGTCAAGACGACAGTTGATAAATTCTTTCGATGTATGGCGTATTTAGGGTTTAACTGTAGTACAACCTAATTATACTAATATGTATCTGAGGTACACAGTACACAGTACACATCTTCTGTATTCTCTCAGATATACCAGATACATAGTGTTCCAGGATAGTATAGGGAATGTATATTTACTCTCCTGAGTTCCAGGAGTAAAGGGAAGGTATATTTACTCTGAGTTCAAGAATAGTATAAGGGGAAGGTATATCTACTCCCCTGTGTTCCAGGATATTATAGGGAAGGTATATTTACTCCAATGTGTTCCAGGATAGATATGGAAGGTATATTTACTCCCATGAGTTCCAGGATAGTACAGGGAAGGTATATTTACTCCCCTGAGTTCCAGGATAGAATAGGGAAGGTATATTTACTCCTCTGTGTTCTAGAAAAGTAAAGGAAAGATATGTTTACTCCCCTGAGTTCCAGGATAGAATAGGGAAGGTATAATTACTCCCCTGTGTTCCAGGATAGTAAAGGGAAGGTATAGTTACTCCCCTGAGTTACAGGATAGTATAGGGAAGGTATAATTACTCCACTGTGTTCCAGGATAGTAAAGGAAAGGTATAATTATTCCCCTGTGTTCCAGGATAGTATAGGGAAGGTATAATTACTCCCCTGTTTCCAGGATAGTATAGGGAAGGTATATTTACTCCCCTGTGTTCTAGGATAGAAAAGGAAAGGTATAATTACTCCACTGTGTTCCAGGATAGTATAGGGAAGGTATATTTACTCCCCTTAGTTCCAGGATAGTAAAGGAAAGGTATAAGTACTCCCCTGTGTTCCAGGATAGTATAGGGAAGGTATATTTACTCCCCTGTGTTCCAGGATAGTAAAGGAAAGGTATAAGTACTCCCCTGTGTTCCAGGATAGTATAGGGAAGGTATATTTACTGCCCTGTGTTCCAGGATAGTATAGGGAAGGTATATTTACTCCCCTGTGTTCCAGGATAGTATAGGGAAGGTATATTTACTCCCCTGGGTTCGAGGATAGTATAAGGGAAGGTATATTTACTCCCCTGTGTTCCAGGATAGTATAGGGAAGGGATCTGATGATGTAGTTCATGAAGCTGGTGATGTGGTTCCTCTACCCCCGGATGGAGGATGGGGTTGGGTTGTTTGTTTAGGTAAATATATATTTATCAAAACAATGAAAATAGTATAAAATGTTAAAACTGCTGCATAATATGTAGATTTTATACTTTTCCAACCCAAACTAGACCAAACATGGGATATTTATTATACTAAACTAGACCAAACATGGGGATATTTTCCATACTAAACTAGACCAAACATGGGATATTTTCCATACTAAACTAGACCAAACTTGGGATATTTTCCATACTAAACTAGACCAAACATGGAATATTTACTATACTAAACTAGACCAAACATGGGATATTTACTATACTAAACTAGACCAAACATGGGATATTTACTATACTAAACTAGACCAAACATGGTATATTTACTATACTAAACTAGACCAAACATGGGATATTTACTATACTAAACTAGACCAAGCATGAGATATTAACAAATTATTCTTGAAACTTGAAGCCTTCGAAACTTGTAAAACTCTTTATGTATTTTTTCATCATAAACTTTCAAAAATGTACACAATCCCATTAAAGTGATTGTGTACACAATCTTATTAAAGGGACTATGTACACAATCCCATTAAAGGGACTATGTACACAATCCCATTAAAGGGACTATGTACACAATCCTATTAAAGGGACTATTTACACAATCCCATTAAAGTGATTGTGTACATTAAAGGGACTATGTACACAATCCCATTAAAGGGACTATGTACACAATCCTATTAAAGGGACTATTTACACAATCCCATTAAAGTGATTGTGTACACAATCCTATTAAAGGGACTATGCACACAATCCTATTAAAGGGGCTATGTACACAATCCCATTAAAGGGGCTATATATGTACACAATCCCATTAAAGGGACTATGTACACAATCCCATTAAAGGGACTATGTACACAATCCCATTAAAGGGACTATGTACACAATCCCATTAAAGGGAATGTGTACACAATCCTATTAAAGGGACTATGTACACAGTCCCATTAAAGGGACTATGTACACAATCCCACTAAAGGGAATGTGTACACAATCCCATTAAAGGGGCTATGTACACAATCCCATTAAAGGGGCTATGTACACAATCCCATTAAAGGGAATATGTACACAATCTCATTAAAGGAGCTATTACACAATCCCATTAAAGGGGCTGTGTACACAATCCCATTAAAGGGACTGTGTTCACAATCCCAGTAAAGGGACTGTGTACACAATCCTATTAAAGGGACTGTGGACGTGTTTCAAGTGACCCTCTATTAAAAAAGTTCCACTGCAGGACATACAAAGAAGGAAACTGATAGAATTTAACGACCATGTCTTCCTCTCTGTTTCTAAGATTTAAGGGAGGAGGGTTAATTGAAATAACGTTTACAGTCCCTTTAAGAAGATTTAAGTGCACAATATATTCCACAGATACTGCGGAGTTGGTCAGTTCTATCAATTCTCAAGCCAGATGTTTAACCATTTATAAGAGTGTATCAGTGTATATATTATATTAAAGAAAAGAGAGGATGTATTTTAAGTTTAGTTTATCTGAAAGATTTCTCACATCTACATCTTTTTGATACTTTTATCCACCATTTAATTTCTGGCATAAAATGAAAAAAATATATGAAGGTGGGGGGAAATTTTTCAAGGAAACTAATACCCTGAAAGTGGTTTTCAATATACAGATAGATAAACAGAAAGATAAATGGACTTTCAGATAGATAGATAGATAGATAGATAGATAGATAGATAGATAGATAGATAGATAGATAGATAGATAGATAGATAGATTGATAGATAGATAGATTGTTTTCAAAGTCTCAATTTTTGTGGTTACCCCGTATTATCCAATAGGATTTTTTCTACTTCTATCATTTATACATATTAAGAAGATCTTTTTAGTATATTAGTAAGTTTTCATTAGCATATTCTTCACATTCTTAGGTAACAAATCTTTCAGGTGGTTGCAAGGTTGCAAGGTTGCAAGGTATGGAACCTTTGCAAGCAGGGAGTTGCAAGGTTATAGAACTTTCAGGGGGTTCTAGCTTATAGAACTGTTAGGGGGTTGTAAGGTTATAGAACTTTCCGGGGGTTGAAAGGTTACAGAACTTTTAGGGGGTTGCAAGGTTATAGAACTTTCAGGGGGTTGCAAGATTGTAGAACTTTCAGGGGGTTGCAAGGTTATAGAACTTTCAGAGGGTTGCAAGGTTATAGAACATTCAGGGGGTTGCAAGGTTATAGAACTTTCAGGGGGTTGCAAGGTTATAGAACTTTCAGGGGGTTGTAAGGTTATAGAATTTATAGGAGAATGTTTTTCATACCTAGGACCGAATCAATTGCAGAGGTTGATGAACTACCTAAATCAACGATTCAAAGTTTGAGATTCATGAGATAAAGTTCAGCGACCCTCCAATTCATTAAATTCGACCCCTGTTTACAAGTATAACTTTGTGCATTTATGACGCCTCAAATAAATCTTGCAAAGACATTAAAACAATGAAACTTTTATGCATCTAGCAAAAAAAAAATATTTTTTTACATTTACCAATAATGTTTTATGTAAAAGCTATAACAATTTTTGTCAGTTTGGCTAATCAAGGCTTTATAATCGCCACAGGCTGCTTAGACTGACATTTGCGATTGTTTTCTGCAAATATCTGAACAAAGACAGTAAAAAGGGGGTAGCAGAGCCTATTTTTCAATTTTCGGTTTTAAAGTCCCCTTTTTAGTGGCCTTTTCATAAAAGGTCGGATAAATTTTCACATTTTACTCCAAAACCCTCGGAGCAATTTCAAAATCCTTTGTAGTAACTCATGTAATAAATTTTTTTAACATAAAAAAGATAAAAAGATAAAAGATAAAAAATAAGCAAATTGTTATATTTCTTTGTCTAGAATAAAAAGAAACTTAAAAATAATTTTTAAAGTTACGTTCAATTTGACCTGTACTGTTTTATATACAGATTGAGAAATAAATAATTCACATTTTTACATCAACATATATATGTATATCTGTCTCTTTCTTAAGACATAATTGAAGTTTGGTTTCAAAACCATTCGCCTGTAGCTGTATATTCTCCTTCTAGGCCTAGGATACAAACATTACCAATGCAATTCATGTTGTCGGGGCTTAGAATTCCATCTATATTCACATAGTTCCGGATTCAAGTTTGCATTTAACATTGGCATTTAGCAATTCTTATACTCTAGGGTCTAGCTTAACATTAAAATAAGGCTTGGTTAATGCATGGACATTCTGTGCTAATATATCATTTTCTTGGTTTAGTTCTATAACTATTCCAATCTAGAGAAACTGCACTTTCCTTCAGTTGCTAATAGGAAAACCCTAAAATATGACTGCTCGTGTATTTTAACAGTTTCAGAAAATATTTGGTTTAAAAATTCTTAAATCAGTTTTTAATTGAAACCCGTTTGAAATGAATTTAATTTGATTAGGCAAATTATGAAAATACGGGAAATTGGAATCTTTATGAAAAGTATTTAAATTTAATTTTCTATAAATTAAAATTGATTTACTTACAAAGAATTAATTTTTACAGGACATAAAATATAAAAAAGTGATTTTTCAGATATTTTAAAATATTGAATCATTGGCAAGCAGGAATCATTACAACCAAAAAGGTTGGGGAAAGGGGGGCGGGGGGGGGGGGAATCACGCAGCTTCTTTTTGTTTAGAATAATTTTCTCACTGTGTTATGTTCTACTTTTAATGCTCAATTATATAATTTTTACACCGTTACCTTTGATAGATGTTTCTGAAAGTTTCTTTTTTGTGCCCCTTTTATACATTTCCTGTATACATATACTGTTATTTAGTAGATGTATAATGTATATATTATACATGTATTTATTCATATAACTAGATGAATAATAATGTCTCTAATTGATTTTACCTTTGACAAATATTTCCATTTATTTTTACAATTACAATTCTTGAGATATTTAAAATTTTTTATCAATATTTTTATTACGTATTACCTTAGAGTCGTGTAAACTATAATTGAACATATGTTTCTTATTTTAGAATAATGAGAAAAGTATTAACAATTTTAGCTTGCAGGATAATTTATATAATACTAGGCTTTGCACCCATCTTTTATCTTAAATTTTAATTGTTGCTCTAATATAAAACATTGACAAAAAAAGGTTCTCGGATTTAATAATATTCTTTGTGGATTTTCAAAAAATTTCAGAAATAAAATTTTTTTGGAGACAAATTTTTGAAATTCTGAGCATTCATAAACCTTCCCCGGGGTAATGTAGTCATGCAAAGTATAGATAGAAGGTTCGTTAGTATTTCAGCAGATTAGGAATATTGACGTCATTTCAGGGAACCCTGCATTTAAAGAATGGTACTCTTTAAGGAAAAATAACAGGGGTGGGGGAAATCCCCCCCCCCATATGAAACAAAAAATAGTCAGACCGTGGAGATATAAGGTTTATAAGCTTGTATTTACGTAATATATATATACATAGAGAATATTTAGAACATTGCTTGTTTAGCCATTAATAATTTGATATTTAGTTTGTCATCAATTTTGCTAAATTTTGACTCGAAATGTTTTATACTAGAGTGGCAATGTCTAGGATTAATAAAAAAAATTATTTTATTTTTATTTTCAGCTTCTTTTCTGTGTATGGTGGTTTTGGACGGGATAGCTTATACATTCGGTTTCCTTCTCACACCGCTTGTGGAACATTTTCAATCCGACAGGAACCTGTCATATTGTTTTAATAATAAATTCCAGTTTAAAAGAAAAGGAAAGAAAATGAGTTTTTGCAACAAACTCAAATTTTCTAATTCCTATATCTCTGCAACCGGATGATGTAAACCTTTGATATTTCAAACTTATATTATTTGACCTAACAACATTCATAGTTTGAAATATAAAAGATCTACAACATTTGGTTGGAAAGATATTGCAATAAGAAAATTTGAGTTTGTGACAAAGTCTCAATTCCTTTGTAACAAATTATGATTTGATGATTTTAAAAACAGATTTTTTATGTTTAGAACTATGAGCAGAGATTTCCCAAATAGGTTTTGTAAAGTATAGGTTAAAATGTTATTTATTTAGGACCGACTGATGTTTATTTAGTGCAAAATCTTATTTATTTTTTGCAAATCTAATTTATTTAGGACAAACTGTTATTTATTTAGGACAAAATTTCATGTTTGTCATATTTCATAAATGTTACTTATTCTCATTTCCTTTTATTTAAATACAATATTTTACTAAGCACAACTTTGAATTACTAACAACAAGAAAAATATTTAAGAAACAAGTTTAGATATAAAAATGTTTATTCATTTTTAATGTTGCCCACTCCACAGTATTTGCACTGCATGGCACCTTAATTTTTTTCAAATAAAAACAATCTGGAAACTTTTTATCTTTAAAACAAACTTTTCATTAAATCTTTCCATGTGCTTGGATGAAGATGAAGGTTCGTATCAGGAGTACCGTATCCTGGGTTGGTAGTTTACTTTGTGGGATGTATATGCTCTCCGGGCCCATAGTTGGTGGTCTAGTAAATAGGTGGAGTAATTATTTTTCATTCTTCATTCTTCATTCTTCATTCTTTATTCTTTTTTCTTCATTCTTCATTCTTCATTCTTCATTCTTCATTCTTCATTCTTTTTTCTTCATTCTTCATTCTTCATTTTTTATTCTTTAATCTTCATTCTTCATTTTTCATTCTTCATTCTTAATTCTTCATCCTCCATCCTTCATTCTTCATTCTTCATCCTTCATCGTTCATCGTTCATCCTTCATCCTTCATCCTTCATCCTTCATCCTTCATCCTTCATCCTTCATCCTTCATCCTTCATCCTTTATCCTTCATCCTTCATCCTTCATCCTTCATTTTTTGTTCATTCTTCATTTTCTATTTTTCATCTTTTATCCATTATCCTTCATTCTTCATTCTTCCTTATTCATTCTTTATCATATTCTTTCATTTTCTTTTCATCATCTCACTTATCATAATTTTGAATGAATTTAGATTTGGAACTCGTCCTGTGTGCATTGCAGGAGCAATTCTAGCCTGGTCTTCCATATCTTTATCAACTCTGTCAGGTAAACCTTGTTTTCTCCTGGTTCTAATAGAATTGACCTAAAGTAATGTTGACATTTGATATCTTTAGTATCCCCTTAAGAAATCCTTGGAGACTTGGATTCTTCTGTTCAAATAGAACCTTGAGTAATCTGAGTACTGATACAGCATCTTTATTTATCTCCAGGTTCTAATTGAAGCTAGGAAGTGTCAAACACCTTAAAATTTGGACTGTCCCGGACTTTTTGGACAGTCCCAAAGTCCAGAGACTGTCCAGGCTTTTGGGTCTCTAAGATTGAGAAATAACCCCCATTGTGTTGGGACTCTGGATCTTAGGGTAGTTCCAACGTCCCGGAATTCTGAGACAGTCCCAAAGTCCTGGGACTCTCCCGGACTTTTGAGTTTCTGAGATTGAAAAATAACCACCATGTTGTTGGGACTTTGGGTCTTTTGGACAGTCCCGACCGTCCCGGGACTCTCCCGCGTTTCTGGGACAGACCCAAACCCGGGATTTTCCCAGGCTTTTGGGTCTTAGAGACAGTCCCGGCTTATGGACTGTCCCAAAGTCCCGAAACTCTCCTAGGCTTCTAGGACAGTCCCAAAGTCCAGGGAGAGTCATGGGCCTTTGGGACTGTCCCAAAGACCCATAGTCCCATTTTAATAAATATTTCAGAACTTGAGTAAAAATTAATGAAAAAATATTCCTCTGCAGTTTAAAATTAACTCAATATACGTTCTAATCTTTCCAGTCAGTTTAGAAATCCTAATGTTCAATCTAAAATCCTAAATGAGGTTAAATTAAAAATAATTTGTTGTGTAATGAAGAAGATTATACATTCTGCATCTGAAGAGAGCTTATTTGAAACCAAGCTGGATTAAAAATATTATATTTTGCGTAATGTTTAAGTGCAACATGAATTAAAAACCTGTACTTTTAAGCAAAGCAATTTGATCCTGTTTCGCAATATGTTTTCAACAAGCTGAGATTGAATAGATTTATTTAATAATTTAAAGACTTTTATTTAAAATATCAAAATTATCATAAATTAAACCATTGTTTTTGTTTGCGACTCTTTGGTAAGTAAGATATAAAAGATATTTTTTACTGTTGTAATGATCTGCCACTCAACTCTTGTTTTTCTTCCAGTTGAACTTACTTACTCATATTATTGTTGTCAAATTTGCAAATTCCGCAGTTTTGCACAAAAATGAAATTTGTGGTGACAAGTGCAACTGATGCGCATTTTCCGGCGAAAATTATTTGCACGCCACGGTTTTTCCATTCCGCTGGACGGGGTTGGACTATCTCCTATATTAGTGAATGTACCTATGCTGATGGTTACATACGGAGTTATGGGAGGGTTTGGACTAGGACTAATCTATCTCATATATCAGTGAATGTACCTTTGCTGATGGTTACATACGGAGTTTTGGGAGGGTTTGGACTAGGGCTAATCTATCTCCTATATTAGTGAATGTACCTATGCTGATGGTTACATACGGAGTTATGGGAGGGTTTGGACTAGGGCTAATCTATCTCCTATATCAGTGAATGCATCTATGATGATGGTTACATACGGAGTTATTGGAGGGTTTGGACTTGGACTAATCTATCTCCTATATCAGTGAATGTACCTATGCTGATGGTCACATACGGAGTTATTGGAGGGTTTGGACTAGGGCTAATCTATCTACCCGCGGTGGTTGCTGTTGGGCACTACTTTGAATCTAAGGCAAGTAAAAATTAGTTTTTCACAGTATTTACTTCATGATTACGTAAAATTTAAATTTTTAAATAGATCTTTGCTATTTTTAGCAAAGCTAGATTTCTAGAGAACGATTTTTGGACCCCCCCCCCCCCCCACCCAATTAGTTTGCTAGTTTCAAATTAAGCAATATCAACTTTTACAAATGTGTGCAGAAGATATTTTAAAAAAATTTTGAATCAAAGTTAAATCACAAAAATTAAAATTTTTTTTTTTATAGCTAGATTAATTGCAAATTGAAAAAGTTGTCTAAAGAAACCAACGCTCTAATATTTCTAATTGAAAAAGTTGTCTAAAGAAACCAACACTCTAATATTTCTAATTGAAAAAGTTGTCTAAAGAAACCAACACTCTAATATTTCTGATTGAAAAAGTTGTCTAAAGAAACCAACACTCTAATATTTCTAACTGAAAAAGTTGTCTAAAGAAACCAACACTCTAATATTTCTAATTGAAAAAGTTGTCTAAAGAAACCAACACTCTAATATTTCTAACTGAAAAAGTTGTCTAAAGAAACCAACACTCTAATATTTCTAATTGAAAAAATTGTCTAAAGAAACCAACACTCTAATATTTCTAATTGAAAAAGTTGTCTAAAGAAACCAACGCTCTAATATTTTAGTCCAAATTATTTTCAACCATAATTAAATTTAAATTATTTATATATAAACAGATTCACCTGTAAGTCTAAAATATAAAATTTTATGATAAGAATAAGATTTCAATTTGCAGATTCTATTTATAGAGTTAATAAATATTTAAAAATCTAAAATTGGGAATCGACTTTATCAAGTTTTCATGACGTATGTAATTTATAATGTCAGATAAAATTAGGTGCCATATTTTATGATGTACTATAGATGATTGGTTTGATGAAAACGTGACTAGATTATTTCTAAACAAAAAGGACGACAGTTGTCTTGTCCCTGGAACAAGTAGATAATAAAATGTGGGAAAGTATAAAAGAAAAGTTTCTTATTAATATAATGGTTTCTTTACACAAAACTTTGTAGAAAGATTGCCCTCATTTTACAAAGTTTGATAACACTTTAAATATTTCATCCGTACCTACTCATCTGCAGGTTATAAAATTAAAGTTTACAGAGAAGGGGGGAGCAGGAGATAGCTGGGAAAAAAATTGGGAATTTATTTCATCATCAGGGATGGTTCACTTATTTCGGTAATTTGAGGGTAAACTAAATAGCCTAGTAGCTATTCATTGGTATTAGTCTTACAAATGCAACTGTGGCTTGAGAAAAAGCCGATTTATCATTCAGAACTCCAGCGCAAAGGTATGATACCTTTGCATTTACACTATTTGATGCTTTTTGTCATAGTCAAGGATTTTAAATATTAAATTAAATTGTTGTATCTAATAGTTAATTGTAGACATCTTAATTTTTTCAAGATTTGTTTGAAATTGTTTATTTTCAAAATTTAACTTATTTTAAACATTTGATCCGTTTTGCCAACTTCCCCAGGAATCCCCGTAATTTATTGAAGAGTTGAAATCTAGGAATCAAATTCTCTGAGAGAGAAAGTCGTCTTTGTATGAAAGTGTTAATTTGTTAAATCATATTTAACACAAAAAACGTTAATTTCATGCTAATTCTAAAATAAAAAGTTTTAACTTTGTATTATATAAAGGCTGACACATGATGTCATTGAAATATGGTAATTTTAAATTGTCTTGGGCTGCTGTTACTGAAAAAACGTTTAAATAGTGTTTATGCAAAGGTATCATACCTTTGCGCTGGACTTTTAAAAGATAAATTGACTATTTCTCCGGTCATAGTTATCTGTGAAAAGTAAGACTAATACCAATTAATAGCTAATAGGCTAATTAGTTCACCATGAAATTACCCAAATAAGTGAACGGTCCCTTTAAATATAATGGAAACCCCAAGAAAACGGCTGTATTTTGTACTAATCACGAAAATACAACACTCTATATTCTTAGTTAGCTGTCGTATTCTAAACAAAGTTTCAATAGACACTATTCCTTATTGTAGAGAGCCCTGGCGACAGGAATAGCTGTCTGTGGTTCAGGAGTTGGAACATTCCTCTTCGCTCCTCTCTCTTCCTGGCTCAGTAATATTTCACCCTGCACAACCTTGCTCTGCGCAACCTTGCTCCGTTTAACGTTGCTCTGTCTAACCTTTCTCTTTTTTACCATACCCTTTTTAACCTGGCTCTTTCTAACCTTTTGTTTTTTCGACCTTGCTCTTTCCAACCTTTTTTTCGACCTTGCTCTTTCCAACCTTTTGTTTTTTCGACCTTGCTCTCATCAACCTTGCTCTTTCCATCCTTACTCTTTCCAACCTTACTATTTCCAACATTACTCTTCTCAGCTTTGGTCTTTCCAACCTTACTCTTTTCAGCTTTGGTCTTTCCAACCTTGCTGTTTTCAACCTAGCTCTTTCCAACCTTGCTTTTTCATACCTTGGTCTTGCCAACCTTGCTCTTTCCAACCTTGGTCTGTCCAACCTTGGTCTTTCCAGCTTTGCGTTTTCCAACCTTGCTTTTTCCAACCTTGCTCTTTTAAACCATAATTTTTGCAATATAACCGTATTCACCCTTTTCAACTTGACCGTTAAAACTCTCTCCTTTCATCCTATTTAATATTACCTTATTCATCCATATTCCATATTAAAACTCACTCTTTTCTAACCCACCTAATTTAGTCTCACCCTATTCAACCAACCATATTTAGTCTCACCCTATTCAACCAACCTTATTTAGTCTCACCCTATTCAACCAACCATATTTAGTCTCACCCTATTCAACCAACCTTATTTAGTCTCACCCTATTCAACCAACCATATTTAGTCTCACCCTATTCAACCAACCATATTTAGTCTCACCCTATACAACCAACCTTATTTAGTCCCACCCTATTCAACCAACCATATTTAGTCTCACCCTATACAACCAACCATATTAAGTCCCACCCTATACAACCAACCATATTAAGTCCCACCCTATACCACCAACCATATTTAGTCTCACCCTATACAACCAACCATATTTAGTCTCACCCTATACAACCAACCATATTTAGTCTCACCCTATACAACCAAACCTTATTTAGTCTCACCCTATACAACCAACCATATTAAGTCCCACCCTATACAACCAACCATATTTAGTCTCACCCTATACAACCAACCATATTTAGTCTCACCCTATACAACCAACCTTATTTAGTCTCCTAATATTCAGTCTCACAATTATTCAAACTCACCATAATTTCAACTCACCCTATTCAGACTCACAATCATTTAAACTCACCATATTTAGACTCACCCTATTTCGACTCACACTAATTAGACTCACCCTCTCACCCTAATTAAACCCCATTCAAATTATCCCTAAGTTCGGAACTTTTGTATTGAGTATCGTAAGTCTTGAACCCTTGATCTCAATATCCAACGTTATATCTCAGAATAAATGCATGATCCCTCAGGGTATAACCGTTATGAAATATGGAAGGGGATTAAAATTAATCCGTAGGCCTGCATCAGATGGAGATTAATGCATGGTTAATCCCGAGATTGACAGTACAAAAGTTCTGACTTCAGGTTGAACTCGTTGTATTCAATTTCGGCGAGCATTTTTAGAACGAGCAATTATTATTAAAAGAGTGAGATAGTGCATGGCAGTGAAATGTGACTGAGCCTCCCCCCTGCCTAGTTCAGAACTATGATTGGAAAACTGCAAACCTTATCTTTGCTTCATTCTTCTCTATTTGTATCATCTGTGGAGCTGCTCTTAAACCCTTAGGTAGGTCAACTATCCACATCTGTAAATATTGAAAAGGAATTGAGTCTTTGTCACAAGCTCAAATTTTCTAATCCCAAATCGCTGCAACCTGATGGTTATTTATGGAATTTATAGTCTGAAATGTCAAAGGTCTACGGCATTGGGGTGCAAAGATAAAGTGATTAGAAAATCTGAGTTTGTGGCAAAGATTTAATTGCTTGCGGTTGAATTGGCAGGAGTAAAATTTAAATTTAAAAAAATGATTTTAAAAGGTTATCATGCTCTGAAAATACGAAAGTGTCAAAGCAGAGTGAGTCTCCCCAAGTCATGAAATCAAAATTAAAAAATTAAAGATAAAATATTTTCTAGTCCAAAGACATATGTTTTGAACATTTTATTAAAATGTTTTAATGACTTCTTGCTTTATTTAAAATTTTCCAATTTGTGAGATGTGAGAGAAACTAAATAAAATTTAAAGGATTGTAAAGTGACCTTATACATTTAAAGAGGTTCTTGTCCGATTCATACCGCGGTATACTTACATTTTCTCTCTAATCGTTAATCAGGAAAACATTGCCGTTTTTTAGCTTGTAGAAAATTTCCTTTTTTTCTAAATAAATGAAATCTAATAAACATAATATTCATTTTTCAAAGAAAAGATTATGAATCTCTCATGTATTCTGGATCAGACAAGGGAAGCGGACATACAAATCTATTAACGAAGAAAGTTTGAAATATCTAAAGTCTACGACATTAAGTTGCAAAGAAATACGGATTAGAAAATCAAAGTTTATGGCAAAGACCCAATACCTTTATGATAAAAAACTGTTGGTTTTAAACCTTGTTTGCACTTTGGTAACGTTACAGTTGGCCATCACCTCTACCTTCTCTAGAGATATCAACGCCTGGAGAGACGAAGGTAGAACGGTTGACCCTGGAGCTACCTGATGGTACAGTTGGAGAGAACAAAAACAATTTAAACCAAGGTTGGTTAAAATCAAGCTTTTTTGTCTTTACATCCAAACATATTAGTCTTTCATTTCGACAGGTTTATCTTTTAAATATAATTGTTTTCTAGCTAAAAATATATTAAGGTATTAAATATGATTGTTTTCTAGCTAAAAATATATTAAGGTATTAAATATGATTGTTTTCTAGCTAAAAATATAATAAAGTATACAAATGATTTTATTCACTTAGGTATATCAAAGATTGGAAGTGTCCCCAAGAGGAACGAGCTAAGTGACCCCAGCGAGGCCGGTGAGCTTGAGGATGGGATCGAGGAGCTCCCGATCATGTCTCGAATGCCTTCAAGACGAGCTCGAAAAGTGTCACTGCCATCTGGACATGTATCAATGGATCCTGGTAGGATAGATAGGAACTACTCCTCAGTTCAGCTCTTATCCCTCAGGTAGGATAGATAGGAACTATACTCCTGGGTCCAGCTCTCTAAACTTAATAATATTAAATAAATATAATCTATCTGAGCTCTATATGTTCCTCTATTTGTTTAAAGAACTGGAATCCATCAGGGTAGATTCCCCTTTGGTATTCTATATAGAACCGACCAGGCAGAAACCACATTTCAAAATTCAAACTTTTCACGCGTCAAAACTCAAAAATAGAATTCATAAAAGTGGGAATTAAATTTTAAACCCCCCCCCCCACCCCCCCTCCCAGTTTAGACAGAATATTTGATATCCATTTACATTCATTCATTTAGTTTTATAATTCATTTATTATTCTCGAAATATATACTCAAATTTGAGGTTTACATTGAAATTAGAATATTGAGTTTCTGTTTAGATGTTTTGGTTAAAAAAATGTTTTGATGGCATATTTTTAAAGAACAAAATTCTGAGATCAAACCTTTAAAGGTTTCTATCCAAGGATTGAAAATCAAAAAGCTGAATAAAATAAAATATGTGAAATATTTGGAATTTTTAAAAGTAAATGATATTATTTGTTGAACAGCTATTGAATAAAATTTCAAAGAAAATAAATAATCAAATTCTGAAGATATTATTATTTTGAAAAGTGAAAACTGAAACGTACTTAAAGCTGTATATTTGATCATGTGATCCTATATACTTCAAACTGAAAGGAGAATATGAATATTAAAGAATATTAGAGTTATCTTTTTAAAATTAAAATATTTATTATCTCCGTATCGAGATTATTTTAAAGATACAAAAATGTTTATATTATTTTTACAAAAAAGGTTGTACGATGATAACGTGTTAATACATTTACATTCTTTGTATTTTAGTTTAGAAAATTCTTTAATTTGCGGATAAATATTTCTCTTTTTCTTTCCAAAATTCATATTAAAATTTGTTTCATTGGAGAAAAAAAAAACTTTTTTGGACTATGGAATTAATAAGAGTTACAGTACTGCTGAGAATAGAGTTCTCTTTTTTGCAGTTAGATTGAATGAATTTAAAGAACAAAATTATATATTCAAATATTGCCAAATCTGCAATTCCAACAAATCATTTACATGTTGCATAATAAGATAGCATATCGGAGATGTGAGAGTTATCTATGAACACAAATTGTTGCGTAAGTTATGCCGCTTTGGAATAAAACATTAAAAAAAAAAATTTGCTAAATCACTTAATTGATCGCAGAAATCATTTTTAACCGGAGGTTAAAACTTTTTAATTTCGAATCCATATATTTACATGTGTATCCGTTTAAATAAATCTGATTGAACCGGTGATTAAAATTTGAACCAGTGCAGGCATGCAGTTCAAATTCATTAAATTCGGTCCTTGTTTTGCCATTTTCTCCTTCTGTGTAAATATAATAGGTAAATGCTCTTAGAGATTTCTTCCTTTACAGGAATTGAGCTTTTGCCACAAACTCAAGTCTTCTGATCCCAATATCTTTGCAACCTGATGGTGCAAACTTTTGATATATCAAACTTAGATTGTTTGATCTATAAGAATTTATAGTTTGAAATATCTAAGGTCTATGGCATTGGGTTACAAAGATATAAAGATTAGAAAATACTTTCTCTCTTTATTGAACCTGTCCTAACACTGATTTAATGTTGGGTTGAATGAATCCATTAAAGAGACAATGGTTCCTTCAAACCATTGTCTCTCCAAGGAAAACCTTGTTTTTTACCAGACTGCGCAATTATTAAAACTCTGACTCGACTTGATTAAATAAATTCTCCTCATTTCTGACATTTTTATTCCTCGAAATATATCATATTTTCTGAATACTTTTCTTATTTTGATTTGAATAATTTTCATTATTTTAATGTCTGTACAAATATTTTTCTCATTTAGTTAAATACATATTCTTCTAATAAACTTTATTGGGTCTGTCCTAGTGAACGATTTTTGGACCTCCCCCCCTCATATCAATTTTGTACATGACCAAATTAGTATTTATTTAGCATTATTTAGGGTTAGGTTAGGTAAAGACACTTTCTGGGCCGAGCACTGCGGCTAGGATGGGCTAGGGGACGTTCTCTAGGAATATACCCCTTTATTAAAAGAAAATAAACGAACTAATCAAATAAAAAATGCGATAAAATTCAGAAAAATGATTTATCGATTTGAATTATTACTATTATTAGGATATCGGTTTTTTACTTTAATGTTCAGTTACAAAAAAGGATATTTTAATGGCTTATGATATTGCCATTTTCAGTTAACCCAGGGGAATTAGTTCAAACACTTAATATTTCCATATTCAGATAATTCAGGGGAATTAGTTCAAACACTTAATATTTCTTTATTCGGATAATCCAGGGGAATTAGTTCAAACACTGAATTTTTCCATATTCAGATAATTCAGGGGAATTAGTTCAAACACTTAATATTTCTTTATTCGGATAATCCAGGGGAATTAGTTCAAACACTGAATATTTCTTTATTCGGATAATCCAGGGGAATTAGTTCAAACACTGAATTTTTCCATATTCAGATAATTCAGGGGAATTAGTTCAAACACTTAATATTTCTTTATTCAGATAATCCAGGGGAATTAGTTCAAACACTGAATATTTCCATATTCAGATAATCCAGGGGAAATAAGTTCCAACACTAAATATTTCCATATTCAGATAATCCAGGGGAAATAAGTTCAAACACTTAATATTTCCATTTTCAGATAATCCAGGGGAATTAGTTCAAACACTTAATATTTCCATATTTAGATAATTCAGGGGAATTAGTTCAAACACTTAATATTTCTTTATTCAGATAATCCAGGAGAATTAGTTCAAACACTTAATATTTCCATATTCAGATAATCCAGGGGAATTAGTTCAAACACTTAATATTTCCATATTTAGATAATCCAGGGGAATTAGTTCAAACACTTAATATTTCTTTATTCAGATAATCCAGGGAAATTAGTTCAAACACTGAATATTTCCATATTCAGATAATCCAGGGAAATTATATAGTTCAAACACTTAATATTTCCATATTCAGATAATCCAGGGGAATTAGTTCAAACACTGAATATTTCCATATTCAGATAATCCAGGGGGAATACGTTTGGACAATATTAGTTTTTTTAATCATTTTCTGAATTGAAGGGAAAATTATAAAAATATTCATGAACAGTTTAACTGATTAACATGTGTTTTTTACATATTCTTGAAAGTTGAATGGAATGTAAAGTTCCGTGTGATATAAATGAGGAATTTAAAAGTTGCTGACATTGATCGAAATTTAATACGATAATATATCATCAGATATTAAAGTTGGGGGAGGGTAGAGAACCCTTAGGCCACCACCAAGAAGACGCATGTGTTATTAATTCATTCATTCATCCTTTTATTCATCCTTGATCACCTATTCATCCTCCAATAAGCTCATCCATAATTTCAAGAGGTTGACAAACAGTAAACAGTTCTTTATTTTTATGAATATTCTTTACGATAATTTTCTTAAAGCAAAGAACTTCAACGAAAATCAATATCGGCATTGACACTATTGTGTTAATAATCTTGAATGATTGAACTCTATATCCAATGTGGGCGCTTTTAAAATTACTACCAATGATTGATCCTTTTATTTAAAGGGAGTGTCTGGCTAGACATGGTAGTTGAGCTGAGAATGCAATTTTGTAGAGAAATTTTTAGGATTCATTTGAGAACAATGAGACGTTTTTACGGTGCATATTTAGCACAAAATCAATCTTTAAAATCCTCCTACCGATTTTCCATTTTGGAGGGATGATTTTGAGAATCGGTTAAAAAAAAAAATCAATAACGACGAAAAACATTCTTCAGTAAATTATCTATATCTCATCAAAAATGTGGTTGAATATCAGATATCCTGGGATATATCTCAACAAAAATATAGTTTAATATTATATATCCTGGGATATACAGGGTGTCCCAAGAAACATGACATTTAATGAACAGTTTAAAATGTCTTCTTCCAAAATTTGATAAATTGTTAGATACTAAAGAGACTAATAACATTTTTATGTGATATGTTATATTACAGTAAAATTAATTTCACTGTAAAATATATATGGTTAAACATCTTTTTTAAAGAGATAAACTGCAAAAAGTATTTAAACTAATACAACTTATGCAAGAAGGCATTCAAAACTATTCACCAACTGTCATGTTTAGTGGGACGCCCTGTATCTTAACATAAATATGGTTAAATATCTGATACCCTGGGATATATCTCAACATAAATATGGTAAATATCAGACACCCTAGGATATATCTCAACATCAATATGGTTAAATATCAGACACCCTGGGATATATCTCAACATAAATATGGTTAAATATCAGATATCTTGGGATATATTTCAACATAAATATGGTTAAATATCAGATATCTTGGGATATATCTCAGTATAAATGTGGTTAAATATCAGATATCCTGGGATATATCTCAACATAAATATGGTTAAATATCAGATATCCTGGGATATATCTCAACAAAAATATCAGATATCTCTTTTTAGAGCTTCTAAAATGTATTATGCTTAAAGGTAAAGAAGGTTGCGGCCAGGATGCATGTTTCTTGTTTATGGGCTGGATAAAATCAGAAAATATCCTGATAGAAAAGTTTAATAAATTTTAATATATTGCTTGTTTATGCATTAAAGGGAATAGTTTCCTAATACAAAGACTTTTAAAAGAATATTTCCACAGTGCAGAGCCAGGATTTTAAAGCTTTAACATGTTTCCTAGTTACAACTAGAACTTTAGTATGGCTTTTATACACCTAAAACTTTAATACAGCTTTTATACAAATAGAACTTTAGTATAGCTTTTATACAACTAGAACTTTAGTATGGCTTTTATACAACTAGAACTTTAGTATAGCTTTTATACAACTAGAACTTTAGTACAGCTTTTATTTGTAACTATATGTTTCTGGGTACATCATTAAGCTTAAAAAAAACACAAATTGGTTATTTGTTGACATTTTAAAATTACGATTATAAACTTTTAAAAGATTTTTCATCCTTAGGGACTATTAACTAATAACTAGCTGTGGGACCATGTTATACGCTTATTTTTGAACCAAATCGGTTCCACTGTTTCCACATCTATTGGGAAGAAACAGACAAGATAGATGAGAAGAACAATGTTCCGATTATTTAAATATATCTTCGTGAATCAATTTTTAATTATTGATGAAAGATTTAAAAAAAAATTTAGTTAAATGAAACAGCGTTAAAGGTAGGGCTCTATCTGAAGGTTGATTATATTCACATTTTACAGTATGTTTAAGATAAGATGAGCTATTCAATCTAATAATATGTTTGAGATACTGCTTAGATATTTTTTTTTAGAAAATGAAGATTCTAGTTTCCAAAGATATAGAAAATCTGAGTTTGGAACAAAGACTCTAATTCCTTATTTAGGCCGATGAGCTCCTCTATGTCTGTGGTGTCGATGACGTCCTTGAAGAGGTCCCAGAGCCAGGCAAAGCTCTCTAAACCATTCCAAAGGATAGTTGACATTCATCAACAGACATTTTTGTCTTTTTAATTTTAAAAGTGGCTTTTGCTTCACATGACAATTGACTACATACCCATAAAAACGTTATTATTTTTAAATTCTTCTTCTTATATTGAAGATAGCTTTGTTCATGATGGCCTGGAGTTTATTTTGTAAAAATCATGAATTTGTTTTCTGTTGTAAATATACGAGCAATTTTTTAAAATCTCAGACAGAGAAATAAAATTTCTATCTGGTTGGAAATCAACATTTTAAAATTTACTGAAACATATATTTGATTAAAGGTGCGCTTTAATGTTAAGTTAACAATCCTTTTAAATATATCAATTGTTAGCTCACCTGACACTACAAGATCCCTTTATACAATATTTTAGAGAAGTTTGCTCTCAACTTCAACAAAACTGTGAGGGACCAGATTTAATGAAAAGAGAGACTAAGTTGAACTGCTTAGACATAGTTTATTTACGTATTTTAATCTTGAACCGGTTCAACTACGCCTTCGCAGTTTGACTACATAAAGCTATTTATAAAATCCGGTCCCAATAGTATTTGTATCTATGCGGAAACATGAGAATCACATGACTTCTTTAAACTACTGGCTTATATTTTCGAAAATAATTCGATTCGAATTTTTTCTTCCATTTTTATAGAGTGTGTTCTGGAATTCCAAAAGTGTGGTCTCATTTTTACCTTAATAGTGGACTCAATTTAAACCCAACCCAAACCAAACCAAATAATATGTAGTTCAAACCAAACCAAACCAAGAGAGAATCCAGTTTTTACCAAACCAAAATTCTGTAATAATTCTCTCTACGTTTATCTCATTTATCATCTCAACCCTGGATATTGTGTCCAAGTCAGGGGAATATTTTGTGTAAAGGTTATTGGGTTCAATTCAACGAGTTATAAAAGGGGGGGGGATATGGTGGCTGAGCCCTCCCCCCTAGTTAAATAAAATATAGGTATTCCTGTAGACACCCCTGGTCCAATTTCTCTTTTCGTCTATGCACAGTTTATTATGTAAATAGCATGTAAAGTGTTAAAACTCTGGAAAGTAGAAATTATATGGAAATACTCAGAAACTCTTTAACCTTTGAAGTTGAACATGTATTCCTTTCTGTTGAAGGATTCTGTAGTTTAACATGTTTTCCTTGGGTTTCCTTTACTGGTTGTTATAAACTTTACAAATTTTATTATTCTTCTTTTTAAACGCTTTACATTTCATGGTTTTCTCCTTTTTCCTATTATTTATGATTTAAAACTTTTTTTTTATTTTCTTTTCTTCTTCACTTTTACCGTTATCCGTTCTTATTCGCAATTTCAAGTGACCCTCTATAGAGGATTGTACACTATAGAGTGGCATTGATCAGATTAAGGATTCAAGTGACCCTCCATAGATTGAATACTATAGAGTGGCATTGATGAGATTAAGGGTTCAAGTGACCCTCTATAGATTGTATACGATAGAGTGGCATTGATCAGATTAAGGATTCAAGTGACCCTCTATAGATCATATACGATAGAGTGACATTGATCAGATTAAGGATTCAAGTGACCCTCTATAGATTGTATATGATAGAGTGGCGTTGATCAGATTAAGGGTTCAAGTGACCCTCTATAGATTGTATACTATAGAGTGGCATTAATCAGATTAAGGGTTCAAGACCCTCTATAGATTGTACACTATAGAGTGGCATTGATCAGATTAAGGGTTCAAGACCCTCTATAGATTGTATACTATAGAGTGGCATTAATCAGATTAAGGGTTCAAGACCCTCTATAGATTAAAGTTCAAGGTTAAAGTTGTAAATTGTGCAAATATATAAGACACTCTCTTTCTATTGAAGCAGTACAACTTAAAAATACTACAGCAATCCCTTTAAAATTATATTCAAGATAAATCAATCAATCTTCTCCATCTCTATTACCCCCCACCTCCGATGGAGTCGATATGAATGAACCTGAGAGTAGGAAGGATATTTTCTTCTCTTTTCTTCCCCCCCCCCTTTTCCTATACAGTCGATGAATGAACTTGATGAATAGCAAAGATATTTCTTCTCTTTTCTCAACCCTCCCCTTCTCCTATACAGTCGATGAATGAACTTGATGAATAGCAAAGATATTTCTTCTCTTTTCTCAACCCTCCCCTTCTCCAATACAGTCGATGAATGAACTTGATGAATAGCAAAGATATTTCTTCTCTTTTCTCAACCCTCCCCTTCTCCAATACAGTCGATGAATGAACTTGATGAATAGCAAAGATATTTCTTCTCTTTTCTCAACCCTCCCCNGTAGGAAGGATAGAAGAATAGGTTAAAGGCAAATATTTGGCATTGATCCTTGCTTTATATTTGATCAAAATAATAAGGTTTAATCCATTAGGTTCCAAAGTAAAAATTAAAAATTGTGTTCAGTTTCTGAGATTTCTCGACTGCCTAAAATATATTTGAATTTATTCATCCTTCTCAAATAAATAAAATATGAAAGAATGATCTTTTTTTAGAACGTCATGTTAGAATAATTGTCAAACCAATCAGGGTTACCCAAATTTCTATAATATCTCCAATAAAAGAAAGAAAGAAAAAAATTATTTTTCATAAAAGTTTTGACAATGTTTTCTAGGATGGAGTGGGAGAGGAGTTCATGTCAAGAGGTTCCCTTGTCAACGAGCAGCTCAAGGTTTTTTTATTTCTATTTTCAGTTTTATGCTAGTTTTTCTAATATTGTAATTTGTATCAAAATCTTAGATAAATTAATCATATTTTTATCCGAAGTTTAAAATTGGTAAAATGTATTATATACTCTCAGAAAAAAATAGAATAAATGGATATTTAACCCCCCCCCCCCNCCCCCCCCCTCGTCAGTGGGTGTATAATTTTTAAGTAAGAGTTTTACAAACATAGAGTTCTACAAATAGAAATTCAAGTATTTAGACTTCAGATTTTTTTTTTATTTCAAAAGAGAGGTAACAGAATGTGATTACCTTTTCTTTGCATATACAGGGTGTCCCACGAAACATGACAGTTTGTGAATAATTTAAATATGTCTTCTTCCATAATTACTTTAGAGTATTTAATGGTAGTCATATTAAATTAAAATTGATTTCTAAGTAAAATATATTTTAGTATAAGTTTTTAATATCTATTACAGTAAAGGGAAGAAGACATTCCAAATTATTTACCAACTGTCATGTTTCGTGGGACACCATGTCTGTACTTGACTTTCACCTTATTATGTCTAGTGGAGTGTGGTCTGTAAAATATATTTTTCTAGTAATATATATTTTACAATATATTTTTATATAATAATAATATATTTTTATGATATGTTTATAATAATATATTTTTCTAGTAAGATTTTTTTTATAAATTTTAATTTAATTTATTTCGTAAACCTTTAAAACTAGGAAAGTGAGAGTGTTATCTCTGTGCTGAAATCAATGATGGATTTTTCTCTACTGAAAGAACCAAAATTTCTTCTAGGTAAATCTTAATATAAACATGGATACACACTTTAGCACAGAACACAGGGTGTACCTAAACATGGGAATTAAGTGGCATTTTAAAACAATAAAAACTATTGATACCATTTCAGCTTTTATTCTTGGGAATACCAAAATATGATTTGCCATTTTTTTATTCCAATATCTCATATCAATAAATTTTAATTTCAATCTCTTTCATGAAGTCGATATTAATAATGTCAAATTCTCGATACAGTTTATAAATAAAAATGCCATATACAACAATTTAGCAATCTTTTTTGTCTTAGATGCCGCGGTAAGTAGCTTTAAAGTCAAGTTTTAAATAAAAGGAAAGAAATTTATAACTTGAACTCATCTGTCGTCTTCCTTAGTTTTATGGGTCTTACCATAGCTGAAGCACTCTGTGCTAGCTTTGTTAAAATTACTTATAAAATCAATCTCAAACTGTTTATTTGTATTGTGTATGAAGTATGCATTGATTGTATATGTAAATATGTTCTGGGAAAAATATTCAAAAACTTCTGACAAACTCGAAGATATGTACTTTGCAAACATTTTGTGAATAAGATGCATATGCAAATTCGAGCAAATCTAATAAAAGTAACTTTACATGTTTACTCAAATATTTTTCAAATTATATTTCCTATGCAAACTTCAGATTCTGCGTATTAAATTTGTATACAAATAAATTTGATTCTTGCAAATTTTATATTAACTTTTGAATATTTAACAGTCTATACTTTTGTTAAATTTTTTCAATAATAACACTCAATATCTTATTTTAAAAGCAGAGGCGCATAAAGGAGCCTACTCCTTAAGAAGTTAAAATTCGGATTTTCATACGGGATTTAGGGGCCCCCGGTGGAATGTTAAAAAATGTTAAATTCCATTTTTTGCCCCAGATTAAAGCCTCAAGAGGAAACTGTTTTATCTGAAATATTTTTCTTGCACCAGCAAAAATTTAAAGGAGCAAAAATTTTGACGAACAAGTCGTCTTCAATAGACCGGGTAACATCAACACTTTACCTTCAGCTGTGCGTACCGGGTGTCCCACGAAACATGACAATAGCTGGAAGATTTGAAAGTCGATTTTTATACTCACTGCCTGAGTGCCGTCTCAGAACACTCAGAATGTCAGAGATTATAAAAGCTCTATTAAATTCATACCTGTCTGATCCCTTCCTCAGTCGTCAACCTTCTTTCTGAGTTTCATATGCATGATTCTTGAAAAAAAAAAAAAAATTCTGGGATTTTCAAAATGGGGTATGCCTTTTTGTGCTGTCAATATTACCGGAGATATTGAGAATTTTGTTCCGATTTAAACTCTATTAAATAAAACCTATATTCTCAAAATCTCCGGTGATATTGAAATAGCATATAAGCAGACCACATATTGGAAATGCCACACTAGGAATATCTTGTGACTATTATACTCTATAATTTACTTCTAATAATTTGTTTTCGAATAAAATGCCGTAAATTATTCCAATGATCAAGGACGACCTTAAAGACGTCTTGCTGCTGTGCAAAAAGGCGGTCTAAATTTGTAGCATGTATCACCCCATGGTGTAAATAATATGCTTTGTATAGAATGTCAAGTGTATTGGACATCTAAGCTTGTTTTCTGAAATATATGCACAAACTTACAGAGCAAAGCTAATTTTTCTTCTCTATAGTAAACCAGTAACTTTTCCTACAAACAATTATATATATTTTCTTCTTCAATAACATAAATATTTCATTCCTCAATTCTTTCTCAAATATTGTAATAGACGGAAAAATTAGGCAGCCATTCGGTGAGAACTAAAGATATAACTTTAGAAGTGATGTTTGATCTCGATATCCACAGTGACAACTTTTAACTTTAAGAGATAGGTTAATCCGTAGGGAGATCAAAGCTTAATCCGAGATCCACAGTACAAAAGTTCTAACTCAGGTTTAATGAATTATGATTATTTTCTATTTCTGAAAAAGACAGAACGTCAAAATATGTTTGTAAATATTGCTAAAAAATAGTTATGATGCCTTACGCGCGGCGGAAACATTTACGATTTAAAAAAATGTGTTATATAGGAGTCAAATTGGACGATTTTTAGGGTTTTAAATTTTTTTTTGGGGGGGGGACCAAGACATGGGTAGACAATATCCTGGCTTGGTGATATCACTGCAAAACTCAATAGTTAAAGTAATTTTATCATCACTAAATATTGTTCATTTATAAAATCATGTAAAAATATTTTTGACATAATGTGCAGTGACCGCAAAATTAAGAAAAAACCACATCTTTTGAAAGTTAGATCACTAAATTAAGTCTTGCATATTGAATGGTTAGAAATAATTGGTCAACTATACACATATTTTAAAAAGCAAAAAAAAGCTAATCTTTATCACATCAAACTTAAGTAAAGTGCACTCAAGATTGAAATATCATGTGGTTTTTTTTCACAAATCCTCTTATTAAAGATCTCTTGATAAAACGATTTCTATTATGTAACCGGTCTAATTAGCTCCTAGCTCATCTTGTGCGTAAAATAAAAAAGTAGAAGGGTTATAAGGTCGCAATGTCGTTAAGTAATGTCGCATAAATGTGACCTTCGCCAGCTTCTATTTAGTTGAGTGTGGTATAGGTTGGTCGAATCAAATTAAGTAAAAAGTATTGGGTTTGCAGTGTTCTGACCAAGGAGTATGAAATAGAAGGGAGATACAACTGACGCAACCCGCCCTGCCATATGATTATACATGTTTTGCAGACGGTACTCCATTTGTAAAAGAAATATTTGTCTGATGTACAATTACAGCGTATAGAATAACCTATTCTGAATATTTCTTATACAAATGTATCTCCTTTCTATTTCATATTCCTTGGTTCTGACCAAATCGATTTTACTGCATTGGAAAAATTACTTTATATATATATATATCTTCACTTAGATACATCTATTAAACAATTCCCTTCTTCAGTTTTACAAGCTTTGTTTTTACTAAATAGGTTTCTAATTTCCTTTGGGAATAAGATACCTTATTTGGAGAAAGGAAATTAAACAAAAAAAACAATGAAAAAAGTAATTCTAAATTTGTATGTATACAATACATATATACATAAAATATTGTGAATTTATTATTTTTGGAGAAAAATAGAAAATGAGAGGGAGGGGAAGCTCAGAAGGTGGGATATATATATATATATATACATGCGGGACGGGAAAGGGTAGTATAAAAAGAATATTGAATATAGGTAAAGGGAGGTGGGAATGCATCTATGTATGTATACTTGTAAAATGTAATACAGCTAGGATAAGTGGTTAGGAAGAGAAGAATAGGATGGGTAGTAAGGGAGAGTAGTAGGATGAGTAGGAAGGATAGAAGAAAAGGATGAGTAGGAAGGAGAGAAAAATAGGATGGATAGTAAGAGAAAAATAGGGTGAGTAGGAAGGAGAGAAGAATAGGATAAGTAGGAAGGGGATAAGGATAGGATGAGTAAGAAGGGGAGAAGAATATGATGAGTAGGAAGGGGAGAAGAATAGGATGAGTAGGAAGGGGAGAAGAATATGATGAGTAGGAAGGGGAGAAGAATATGATGAGTAGGAAGGGGAGAAGAATATGATGAGTAGGAAGGGGAGAAGAATAGGATGAGTAGGAAGGCGAGATGAGTAGGATAGATAGGAAGGGAGCAGAATAAGATGGATAGGAAGGGAGAAGAATAGGATGAGTAGGAAGGATAGAAGAATAGGATGAGTAGGAAGGATAGAAGAATAGGATGAGTAGAAAGGCAGAGTATTGTTAAGCATAAATTATATTCCACTAAAGTTTACATTTCTACAACCCGCTTTATGCCTAAAAGTTTAAACTACAATATCTAACTTTATACTCGGGGAAAAGTAAATTTTTGTTGTAAACCCGCATACCTACTACCTAGAGCCTAGACCACAAATATATACAATAGTCTTTGAACATCAAAAATTTCCAAATTTTTTCATTACATATTGCGTATTTTTTTAAAAATATTACAAACATTTCTTTGCAATAATTTTTCTTTAAGAATTTTGCACTTAACTGCAATATTCAAATTATTAGATACATATAAAATCGATGATAATAGATTGCATAAATTGCATCTGTTCTTGGTTGGATGATACGCGGCTGCATACTTGTCGATGAACCATTTTATTTCATAAGGGTTCTTATGATCCTTTAATTTCCAAATATGCTTGGAAAGTGCCGTACTTTCTTGAATTTTTGTTTCCTAAAAGATGATGTATGGTTCAGGTACCTCTCTAAATATATATGTATTGATATGTATATATATATATATATATATATCCATCTTTCTTCTTTATCATGTTTGTTTTTACTGCGAACATTATCCGCTTGTGTAAAAAATAATAAAACTGATTTTTTTTACAAATTTTCAAAAAAATTATTTTTGACAGCCAACATTTTTAAATTCAAATATTTCCGTTTTAGCGGTTTGAAAAAAAAATCCAAACAAATAATTATAAAGCCAACAAACGAGCCTAAAAATACAAATATTTTTCATCTATAAAAAATAAAAATTTACCCTATTTAACTTTGACCTGACGAAAAAAAGACTCGAAGAATGAATTCCATTTTAGACATGACCTTAAAAATAAAATTGAATTAGAAATAGTTAAATTAGTTAAGTTACTAACCGATTATGTTTCAGTAAGTGTAAGTAACCTGTTCGGGTTTTTGGGTTTCTATGTACCGTTCATGTACCTTCCTAGTCTTGTAGGATCCAACCCTGGTATATCAGGTCAGTTCTATGTACCGTTCATGTACCTTCCTAGTCTTGTAGGATCCAACCCTGGTATATCAGGTAAGTTTTATGTACCATTTATGTACCTTCCTAGTCTTGTAGGATCCAACCCTGGTATATCAGGTCAGTTCTATGTACCGTTCATGTACCTTCCTAGTCGTGTAAAGATCCAACCCTGATATATCAGACCCGTCAGGACAAATGGAGGAAAATGTACGCTATCACGTGACGTGTGTATTTAGCTTAATCAACTGCACTGATCATTGTTATTATTAGGTGCAGTACGTGGAAAAGGGATATGAAAAGAAACCAAATGTCGGGGGGNTTTCTTCCATTCTGTCTCTTCTGATTTCTTACTTCCATTTCTCCTTGCTTTCTCTTCTTTCTTCCTCTTCCTTTTTTTCGTTCTTTCATTTTTACTATCTTTCCTTTCATTTTCTCTTTCATTCCTTTCTTCTTCTATTCTCACATCCTTCCTCCCCTTTTTCCTTTAATTTCATTCCTATTCTCCAATATCCCTTTGGTCTTTCCTATCTTTCTTTCTTCTATCATTTTATGTACCTTCATGTACCTTCCTAGTCTTGTAGGATCAAACCCTGGTATATCAGGTAGTTCTATTTACCTTCATGTACTTTCCTAGTCTTGTAAGATCAAACCCTGAAATATCTGATAGTTCTAAATGTAACTTCCTAGTCTTGTAGGATCCAACCCTGGTATATCAGGTAGTTCTATGTACCGTTCATGTACCTTCCTAGTCTTGTAGGATCCAACCCTAGTATATCAGGTTAGTTCTATGTACCGGTTATTCACCTGCCTAGTCTTGTAGGATCTAACCCTGGTATATCAGGTTAGTTCTACGTATCGTTCATGTACCTTCCTAATCTTGTAGGATCCAACCCTAGTATATCAGGTTAGTTCTATGTACCGGTTATTCACCTGCCTAGTCGTGTAGGATCTAACCCTGGTATATCAGGTAGTTCTATGTACAGGTTATTCACCTGCCTAGTCTAGTAGGATCTAACCCTGGTATATCAGGTTAGTTCTACGTACCGGTTATTCACCTGCCTAGTCTTGTAGGAACTAACCCTGGTATATCAGGTAGTTATATGTACCGGTTATTCACCTGCCTAGTCTAGTAGGATCTAACCCTGGTATATCAGGTAGTTCTATGTACCGGTTATTCACCTGCCTAGTCTTGTAGGATCCATTCCTGGCCATTAGAGTACACTAATACAGTAAGTTACCTAGACCAAGGAGAATTGAATACAAGGAGGGGGCAATAGGGTTTCCGTACACTTTGCTGTGACGTTTTTGGACTGCTGGAGAACTAGTTTTTGCGTAACAACAATAATAAAGTCAGCCGATCTAATGTAAACAAACATGAGTTAGTATACGGTGGATCTTCATCTAACGCCAGAGATGCACCAAATGTCTGTTTATCATTTGTGTTATTGTTTACAATCTTTAATATTGTTGTTACGCAAAAACTAGTTCTCCAGCAGTCTAAAAACGTCACAGCAAAGTGTACAGAAACCCTATTGCCCCCTCCTTGTATTTAATTCTCCTTGCCCTAGACTATCCATTTCAATTTCGAATTTTTTAAGCTGTTAAATAAACTTTATAAAATGAATTATAGGTGAATAAAAAAACATCATTTGTGTTAAAGTTAAACAAATTATCGTTTGTAAAGTGGAAGGCATAGAGTCTATGTGAAATGATCATTGGTCAATAATGAAACCAGCCTATTTCATAATCTGGTTTTCATTTAATATTAATTTTAGATTTTCTATAAAATGATGTTACAGGGCCCAAAAGGTTATATAGCGCAACTATGTGAAGTACACCTGCCGTATGGAAACAGTAAAACAAAATGGCCGTTTTACACTTTTTTCTAGTAAATTCCACTCTAATATATATTCTATTCTCTTTGACCAAAATGCACAGCTTGCACCCTCTTACGCCAAATTCTATCAAGATTTTACCGATTACTATTTTCAAATTGAAGTCAACTTGCCGCCCATTAAATGAAATTACTTCTATACAGTGTCTTTTATAAATCATTGTGCAAAAACTTAACAGATTTAACATTACAGGATATATTAATTTATTGATTTTAGAGAATGAGGCGGCCTTTATCCTCTCTGTTATTGGGATATCTAACACAGTTGGGCGGATTCTAACTGGTCTACTCGCGGATCAACCCTGGTCCAACGCTCTCACTCTCACCTCCCTTTCTCTCATCCTCTCATCCGTCTGCGTCTTCCTCTTCCCCTTCGTGACAACCTACACCGTCTTCATTATCCTGTCCTCCGTCTTCGGTCTGTTCGTGTCCGCCTACATCTCCCTAACGTCTATAATGCTGGTTGATCTGGTGGGTATTGATCAACTTACAAGTTCATTTGGACTTGTCACTATGTTCAGGGGTGGTTCAGCCATGCTGGGCCCGCCCCTCGCCGGAGCGGTGTTTGAGGCAACATCAAGTTTCATGTATTCTTTTATCATGGCCGCCGGGTTCTTCCTAGCAGCTGGTATATTCTGCTTTGCCGCAGATCTGTTACGGAGAAGAGAAATAAACCAGACCATTGAATAGAACAACCCGGAGAAGGGAGATAATCTCAACCAGGGTAAAAGAAACAACCTTTATTATCTCTTGTCCGCTTAAATACAATCCAATTGTTGTTTTCATCGATCTGTCCGCATAACTTTTTATCTGTAAATAAATGTGCCTTAAAGTATGTTTTAATGTTGATAACCTTTACAGAGAAATTGAGCGATCTTATGTATAAACTATATTTGTCAAATTTTAATCCACTATGAATACTGCATATAGTTCTCATTAATCATAGAAACAGAGTGACAACATTAAAATCATCGTGGAGACTTAAATCTTTGCTTGGGAATAACAGAATAAATCAAACGATTCAGACCTTTCCAAAACTTCGTCGTTTTATATCCAGTTCGATTAAACAACGCTACCCTTTAAAATTGTATCTGCTCGGTAATTTGAAGGATAACGTCATCTTTGCTAACTTTTATATTTCTAGACAATTTCTGTATGGTTTCCTTTACAAGAAATCCGCAACTCACTTCTAAAGAAAACCCAACATTGAAAATAACCTCAAAATACCTCATTTGTTCTTCACCAGATCAAGATTTAATGCAAGGAAAGATATTTAAGAAGTGTACGCATCTTTTGTACTGCAGTGTTCTGTCACTGGGCGGTAATGTAAACACAAGACGGATGTTGAAGCCTGACATGGGATCCATCTTTCACATAAATAATCAATGAAATATTCTGGTCATAGGAAACTATTATGTGAATTATCAAAATTATCAAAATTCAATGCTTTTAACCTCCTCGGATACTAAACGAACACTGAGGCATCTATTCTTGTTTACAAATTCCACCCAGAGAGAACTGGTTTCAATATATACGCAGAGTATACGCAACTGCAATTAACTTTCCTTGCATTACATTCTTGCACCAGACAAACTTTAAAAGGTACTGTTTTAAATCGGACATATCTCTTCAAATGGAAATTTGAAAATGTAGATGATTTTGGTAATATTTGATCAAATGAATTAAGGATGTGAAAGTCCTTAACTCTCAAATCAATAATAAAGGTAGAAAACAGGTAAAAAGATCACATTTTCGGAAATACAAAGTAAAACCGAAATTTTTTGGCTTCAACGCAGAAGAATAATTTAGTTTTTATTGGTTTGATCTTGATATAAAACTCCTTAAAAATTATCTGTATTGAACCATCCAAGCTTACAAAGTGTCCAGAAACATGCGAACTAAGTGATTTTATACGTGCAAAATTATCAGTGATTGAAAAATATACAAAGTTTTAACTAAAAAAACTAAATTGTTTAAATATTTTGATTTCATAAGAACGTTATAAATGTTTATATTTCTTCACTCTTTGTCTTTATATTCGAGGTTTTTTTCAGCGAGTGTTTCAATGGAACGTTCAGCGAGTGTTTCAATGGAACATTCAGTGAGTGTAGAATGTTGATGTATGTGAAAATGTTATGTAAGTGCGAACATAAGATATCTTTCCATTTCATCCATTCCAACTTTTCAAATCAATCTCTAGTCTGAGATTCACAAATGAAGAAATATCAGAATTTTGTAAAGGAATATTTTCAGTGCTTCAGTTTACCACGGTACAATGAAACGAATCAACATTAAATATTCCACATTAGGCAAACTATATCTCTAAGAAGTATGATAAAAATCTTGAATCTTGTTAAATCTCATAGCTTGGTGCCATCTTACAGGATATCCAAGATATCCGTCGTCGGGACAGGAACCTTTATGTTGGATACTCATAATCCTGATTGTTTGATCTAGATATCCACTGTTCCCACTTTTGATAAGAGGCTCTATATTAAAAACTATCTCTATTTTTGTTATTCTTCCTCTGAAGAAATCTTCCTTCTATCCCCGAAACTACTGCGATTACAATCAATTAATCTGCAGATCAACAAAAGATTGAGATAAAGCATAAGTTTACAGCTCAGATCAGATCAACTTTCAGAAAGGTTTAATAACTCAGTAGTTCCGACCTCAGTAATGTCAGTTTATTCTTCTATTTCAAGATAAATGAGACCTGAGAAAATGAAACCATTCTCCAGACGAATTATTTCTTAGACTTGACAAATTTTTAGAAAAGTATAAAACCAGCAATTTATCTAGATTTTATTCAACTTGAATAAATCCTCTAAAAATATGCCACATCTTGCAATGGATTTTATTTCAAATTTAACAAAATTTTACACTCGATTTGCACACGTTGAGACCGATTCTTGTGAACACGACAATCGTCAAGGACGTCTCCTACTGTGTACGTTCTCTTTGTCAATCCATCAAAGTACGTTTCTTGAATGAACAAGGTCCGTACAAATCACTTTGGGGGCCGCTAGATTCGTTTCCATTAGATAGATGATTAGGTTTCGCATAGTCGAATGCGTCCTATGGACGACCATTCACGACATCTTCAAAGTACGTCTTAAAGACAAACATTTTTTGTCAAAGGGATGATTATTAACACTCAGGACACTAGTTACTCCATCGGAGGGATGGTAATTAACACTCAGGACACTAATTACTCCATCGGAGGGATGGTAATTAACACTCAGGACACTAATTACTTCATCGGAGGGATGGTAATTAACACTCAGGACACTAATTACTTCATCGGAGGGATAGTGATTAACACTCAGGACACTATTAACTCCATCGAAGGGGTGGTATTTTACACTCAGGACACTAATTACTCCATCGGAGGAATGGTTATTAACACTCAGGACACTAATTACTCCATCGGAGGGATGGTTATTAACACTCAGGACACTAATTACTCCATCAGAGGGATGGTAATTAACACTCAGGACACTAATTACTTCATCAGAGGGATGGTTATTGGTTATTTACACTAAGGACACTAATTACTTCATCGGAGGGATGGTTATTAACACTAAGGACACTAATTACTTCATCGGAGGGATGGTAAGTAACACTCGGGTCCGGGACACTAATTACTTCTTTGTAGGGATGGTAATTAACACTCAGGGTTTATAATTACTCCATCGGATGGATGGTAATTAACACTCCGCTAATTACTCCATCGGAGGGATGGTTATCCTGAGTGTTAATACCATCCCTCCGATGAAGTAATTAGTGTCCTGAGTGTTAATTACCATCCCTCCGATGGAGTAATTAGTGTCCTGAGTGTTAATTACCATCCCTCCGATGGAGTAATTAGTGTCCTGAGTGTTAATAATCATCCCTTTGTCAAAAAATGTTTGTCTTTAAGACGTACTTTGAAGATGTCTCGCGTTAGATTTTTGTCTGTGTCTGGTGAATGGTCGTCCATAGGACGCATTCGACTGGGCGAAACCTAATCATCTATCTAATGGACCCAGACTTATAAAAAATAGATCCAGATCCAGGTCATTTCTTTAAGATTTACTGAATTTTCTCAACATAGCAGAATTTTCAAATTTTTTTTCGCTTATTTTTATGCTAGAACTTGGAAACTTTTCAGAAATCAGTAAATTTTTATAATCTCTTTTTTTCTAAAGTTTAGATATAGGTTTAGAGCGTAAAGAGTTTTTTTTTTCAGTTTCTGGTTGATATTTTGCATCAAGGATCCGGATCCGTGGATCCGCACATTTTTGCGGATCTGGATCTAGGAAGCGAAAATCTTGCGGATCCATCGAATCCGGATCCTAAGCACTGGTTTGGAGGAAACGAACTTGAAGTGTTCATTTCTTTAACTGACATTAAATATGAATTATGATATCTTTGTACGAAAGTATGATACTGATTTCACTCAAACAATATTTTCCTTATGTTCATTGAAAAAGTATATTTAGAAGAGAAGGCACATCTAAAATAAAACCAGAGATAACCAAGGCAAATCCAAACGTCAAGATATCTGAGATTTGAACATATTAGTTGCATGACGTTGAAAATTGTCAAGCAACAATAAAAGCCAAAATATAGCGTGACGATTTAATAACACAAAATATCAAAATTTTGCGAAATATTTTACAGTTTTACGTGATTTAAAGATCTATGAAATGATACAAATAACTCTTTTCGTGACTTTTAACAATTTTCAACTATAGTCAACCAGATAAACTGATATCGATTTAGACCAAATTCAGGCTAACATTATTTCTCCCAAAAATACTTAAATTATGATCACAGAATATATGTCACATATATGGGATGTGGTGAAGGGGTTTTAAGATGATTAAAAGAATACTTGAAGGCTTATTCACCAATGGAAGAATATAGTCAATGCTGTCCAGCATCCAATGTCCACAATGGTTTGTTCAGATTTAACTCCGTTCGAAGCATGTTCCCAAATTTCGTTCAACTGAATCCAGTTTTATATCAAGTTCAGATCATCTTGATCTAGAAGACCTGCCAGTTCGATTCAGTTATTTGGTTCGATCCAGTTCAGTTTCAGTTGTCTAGATCCAGTAAAACCAGATTTATCAGTGATAGTTGGTTATATCCAGTTGAAACCAGTTCGGTTCAGTTACCGTTGGTTTATAACAGTCCCGGCAGATTAACTTAATCCAGTTTACTCTGGTAATCAGGATTTCTTGGTCTTTCTTCCTCGACCTTCTCCTCTATTCTTTCTAAACAAAATAATATTATCAGGACGGGAAATAATTCTCGCCCAGCATATACATACATTGCGCTAAAAATAAAAATTGTTTAAATCAAGTAAAAAATATTTATGTCATTATGTTAGTGTTTTTCGAATTCTTTCAGACAATGTAACTTGATAGATCTGAGTCGGAACAAGTGGAATTCAAATTCAAAGCCACTTTTTTGTCTTAGTTGAATTTCAAGCCGTAATGTTCAAATGTGTTTGTATTGTTTGGGTATGGAAAACAAATGATATTAGGTTTTTGATTGAGTGAACAGAAAATAAGTTTAAGGGGAAAAAAGTCGAACCGTATACAACCTTGACATTTACAATATATGAATGAAAATTATAACTATATAATGTATCACAAAGAGCAAAGACGGGACTTTTGTTATCTGAATTTGATGTTGCTAGAATACAAATATTTTATTGTAGTTTGAAACTCAACTAATTATAGAAAACGTGTATGTGAATTGTACAATAACATTGGACAATTACTGCGTTTCATGCTGAACTAATAATTTGAATCTTATCAGTCGTTTTCGTCCCACTGAACTTTGATTTAATATATAAACTTGATTCAAGTCTAATTTTAAAGTTCTATAATACAAATTAAAACTCAATTAAACTCCCAACTGGATAATTATGAAGGATTTAAGTAAAAACTAAATTCTAAATCCTGAAATCCCGGATTATTTAGAAATTCCCTGATAATCCTTGAATTCTGTGAATCCGATATTTGGATTTTATTTATCTGAATATTTATAAATTGTTTTACAATTGGAATATCTAGTGTTTACTCAGGATACTACTTCTTGGCAGGCAATCTGTTATTCAGTGTATTTTATCTTTTATTTCAGGGATATATAAAAAATATTATATATTTATATATTTACATATTTACATATTTATATATTTATATATTTATACATTTTTATATTTATATAATATATCTTTAAGATAAGATAAGATAATATAAGGGTTGTCTGAAGTGACCGACATTGCCCGTGCAATTTTGAAAAAAATTTGATTTGTTTAGCCTATGTTACCCACGTGGTACTCATATAAGAGCGAAGAGCTTTATTTTATAGATAAAATATATATTTCTAAAACTTTTATTCGAAAAAAGAAAATTTTAGTATAAACTTGATAAACCAAGAGAAAAATTCTAAAATGTTATGCTCAGTTTAAATTTTTCACTCAATTTCCGAAATCATTAATACTCAACAATACACAACAATATGAAAGTTAATTTTTCTTCTTCAAACAAATAATCTGATTCGACTGCATCAATTTCTTAATGTTATATTAATAAAACGTTACAAGACCCATATTGGGAATGCTGAGTGATTTTTAAGAAATTCAATTGCACGTACATTGCACAAGGCAACAGCGAAACAGCCTATTCTAAAATATTGGCTGATTTCAATGTTTGTGTTAGCCCATTGCTAATGGCTAATGGCTATGGTTGTAAGTACCCCGTGAGGAATGGTTTTACTGATAATTATAACCTACCCAGTTTATTCTGTGCATTCAACTTCGTATAAATAGTCATCGCCTGGGCCACCATCCCGGACATATCACCAGCATTATGAGGAAGCATCAGGGTATTCGACTCCTTCGCAAGTTCCCCGAATGCCGCAACATATTTCTCCGCAACTGCCAGACTCGCAGCTGCGTTCCCGTTCTGGTGCAACAAAGCCTGAAATCAACAAGTTTAATTATCTAAAATATCATTCTTAAATTTTTTATTCAAATTATATATTGTAATTTGAGAGAGTTGTTTCAATGGTTTAATCCTACAATCCAATTCAAAAACATTTTTTATGTTGTTTATCAGTTTTAATTGCACTTTTTATTTAAAAATCCTAATAAGAAATTTCATTATCTTATTATGACTTCTGATTGCTTTTAATCTGTCCATGATTCCATATTCGTTGACTGAATTCTTTGTAAAATTAAAAAAAGTAATGATTTTTGCAATAGTTATTATTTTACAACAAAAAATGTTTCGCCTAAAATTAGAGAATAAAAGAATTCATTACTAACTAAAAATGTTTAGTTTTATTGTCTAATATCTTGCAAATGTATTTTAGTCTGGGAAAAACAAACCCTGAAAAGCTAAAAAGTTAGTAAAGTGTACCAGGGGACCGGAGTATACAACTAACTTATGTCTCTAATGTAATTCAAGAACTAGTTTCCTCCCCCTTGTTTCATAATTACAGGGCTACATATTTTCTAGAAAAATCTCCCCCAAAAAAAAAGTTTGAGGGGGACTACTTATTCAAAATATAACACCCCACTTAAATTACCTCAGCTACAACTCCTATACTTTTAGCCCTGGCTTCTCCTGCAGCAACAACTGCCTTGGCAGCTCCCTCCGCCGCATTTATTAGTTCCTGTTTCTCCGCCTCGGACTGAAGAATACGCGCCTGCTTTTTACCCTCCGCTACATTAATATCTGCCGCCTGCAACATGATATGATGATATCATCGATCAGCTGTAAACTCGAAAGAGTCATCCCATGGACGATGAAAATCTTCGAAAATACAAACAATTTCCTTTTTCTTAATTAAAAATTATTAGACATTTACAAAATAAAAATAAAAAGAAGTTGCATTACAATTAATGTGATTCCCCTTTTCGAGAGAGTAAGCGTAATATACAAAATACAATCTTAGTTTGAAAGTGCATTTTATGTTATTAATAAGTAAAACAATATTTTATATTTGTATGGGGTAGAGAAGATTTTGGTAAGTTAAAACATTTTACTAAATATAAACTTTATTAAAAACTTTAGTTGTGAACACAGGGACAATACAGGGACAATGTAAACACAGAGACAATAAAATCTTGAGGACAATACAGGGGCAACAGAGAGACAATAAGAACACAAAGACAATACAGGGACAACAGAGACAATATAAACACAGGGATAACGGGGACAACATAGAGACAATGTAAAAACAGGGACGTACAGAGAGAATATAAACAAGAGACAATATAAATGCAAAGACACTATAAACACAGGGACAATATAAACTCAGGGACAATATAATCACAGGGACAACAGAAAGACAATATAAACATAGGGACAATTTAAACACAGGGACAATACAGGGACATTATATGGACAATACAGGGACAACAGAAAGACAATATAAACAGATAGACAATATAAACACAGGGACAATTTAAACACAGGGACAATACAGGGACATTATATGGACAATACAGGGACAACATAAAGACAATATAAACAGATAGACAATATAAACACAAAAGACAATACGGGGACAACAGAGAGACAATATAAATACAAGGGCAATACAGGGGATAACAGAGACAACATAAACACAGGGACAATACGAGGACAATATAAACACAAGGACAATACAGGGACAAAATAAACACAGGGATAACAGAAAAAATATAAACAGGGGGACAACATAAAGACAATGTAAAAAACAGAGGATGTACAGAGACAATATAAAAGCAAAGACAATAAAAACACAGGGACAATATAAACACACGGAAAATATAAACACAGGGACAATATTAACACAGACAATATAAACACATGGACAATATAAACACAGACAATATAAACACATGGACAATATAAACACATGGACAATATAAACACAGACAATATAAACACATGAACAATATAAACACAGGGACAATATAAACACATGGACAAAATAAACCCAGGGACAATATTAATACAAACAATATAAACACAGAGACAAAAAAGGGACAAGATGACAACGTAGACATAACAGTTCACGAACAATATAAACAAAGGGACGTACAGAGACAACAGAGAGACAATCTATACACAAGGACAATACAGGGACAGTAAAAATACATTCACAATTCAATATACAGGGACAAAATATTAACAATAATTAGGGAAAAGATACACAACATGAACACACTGATGTACAGTACACATAGTGCATTTATATTTATAAATGGACAGTACAAAAGTAAGATTTATTTATTACACTACAGTACTTTCTGACAATCATACCACAAAAAAAAATTCACTGGTTTAGTCTCATTCAAATTAAATAAAAACTAATTTATTTTTTTTCCGCATATATTTTTAATCAAAACGTTATCGATACTAGTAGCTAATCAATTTCATAGTTAATAATAGATATAGATTGATACAATATAGATAAAAATGANTAAGCTGCATAACCTCAAACAAGAAGGTTATGTGTATTTGAATAAGAATATATTATAACATTGTTGAATTAATTGCCTACCTTAATTCCTTCAGACTCTAGAATAGCAGCTCTCTTCTTCCTTTCAGCTTCCACCTTAATAGATTTAAGGTTACACTATGAGTGGTAATGCGACACTTCAAACCAGACGCGGTCTTATATTTTTAAGAGACTTCTACACAATCATTTCTCCTTAGGTAACGTCATTTTTACAATACGAAATGTTTACTATGAAATAAAGAGATTATCTCTTTAATGAAATTTTACTTTTAATAATTGAGTTTTATTTTCACAGAAAATCGCGACTAACTCTGCGGATAGGAATGGATAAAAATAAATAATTTTTCCTTTTCATTATTTTTCAGTACGTTGGGTCTTCTGACTATATCGTTAATCGTGAACGCTTGACCTTGATATCCAATGTGGGAACTTTTAAATTTGAGAATTTGCATGATATCTTTATTTTGTAATCACTGCATGGTATAACCCCCAGGGAATATCGAAGAGGAATTAAATTAATCTGCATAAGATAGAGATCAATACTTGATCCCGACATTCATAACACAAAAGTTCTGACTTTAGATCTAATAATAACTTTTTCCATCCAGCTTTCTTAGCATTCTTTTACCCCCCCCCCCCCCACCCCACCCCTGTCAGTGTAAAATTTTAGCAATACATGATTTACAGCATTTCTCTTCGCGAAATTTCTTTTTTAAATTATTAATTCCCATACTGCTCGATTTAAACTCAATAACAGCAATAAAACAATAACAAATATTGAAAACTAGAAAAAGATTTTCAAAGATTTTCAAATTTTTCCTAATAGATTTGGTACGTTTTGTCTTATTTTCGCAGTGCTCTATGAAATTTGGATCCTTTAAACAAACAAAACCCGGTTCAACACTAAGAGCCAGGGCCCAGTAGAAACAATAAGTAGAAATAAAGATCTCGGTAAATTTGAAAAATTCTGTAAATTCGTTAAATTCTGCTCGCATGTAAAGCTTTGGAAGTAGGTCAAAGTCTGTTATTTTTCTCTTGCAGAATGCATGATGCATGATAATGGTTGCAATATACACTCCCCCCCCGGTTACGGTGAACATCCTAAGCATACAGTGTACACTGTATAAACCCTAAACAGGAGGGGGGGAGGGGGGTTGTGAACGACCCCCTCACGTTTTTTTTTACTCAAGCACTCTCATTTTTGACACTATCATCGAGAAATTTTTTTTGACTCTTAATATATACAAAATTAAAGGATTTTTTGCAAGCTAATTTTTTTTACAAATGCCTTGGTAGGGTACAGGGCGGTAAAAAGTCCGGTCCGTGAAAAAAAAGGAAATCTAAAATAGCATATAACTTTTTTTGTGACTAAAGCTACAGAAAAAAAACTATATTTTTAAAAAGTCCTAGAAACATGCGTCACATCTTGATATTTGTTTTAGGCAATTTTTTCAATCCTTCCTAGCACCCAATCTAAAGTTATAGGTGTACATGGGCTATGAACATGCATTTCAACCCTATACCTATTCAATACTTCATGGGGGGGCGCCCCCCCCCCCTCTCCACAGACTCCCAGTCTTCATAGATTTAAGTGTTCAGAAAGAACTCTGTAAAGGACCCCGACATGGATCCCCCAGACCAGTTGAGAGGGTCATGGAACAAGATGGCTTCTACCCGTTCCATGCTGGCCCCCCAACCCCCACTTTTTTCAGCAGGGGGGAGTGGTGGTACTCACCGTTGGCTGGCATTACCAATACCACTGAACATAACTGAATACCTGCATTTGCATTGCCTCCTGTACACGAGCTGGTAGTTTTATATCACGGATTTCATACCTAGACACAAAAAAATATAGGTTTTTCTTATCCCATTATGGGCCAAAACATTGGTATCAACTTCTAACTTTGTGACACCCTGTGCCCTGTCTATTAAAAGTTGTTGGTTCCGATAATTTCTCAAATAAAACAGGTCAGACTAGTTAAACTAATGTTCATAAAGGCCCCAGTGTACTCCACATCATAATCAGGTAAGCGTAATACGAAGACAGGTTGAAAAAAATAGTAAAAAGTAAAAGATGGTAAAAACATTTAGTTTTTCATCTTACTTTCAATCTCTTCGATTTTTGTATGTCCATATATAGTGAATTTTTATTTCACATTCATATTTGATTTTTTTGTAACTATAAGTTAAGTACTCATTATTGCCATTCTAAGTCCGTCGATATCGAAGGTTTCCGGAGATAATTTTGTATAAAAACGTCGATATCGACGTCTTTAGACAATAAATAAAAAAAATATGTATGAATTTTTTTTTCAAAATTCTTGGAAAATGTCTTGAGATATGTTTGTTGCTTGTTAAATTTACCCTCTACCCCAACGCCCCCTTTCCCATTCACTCTCAATACCCTCCAAGGGCCCCCCATTATCTCTTATATATTTGTACGAGTTAAAAAAAAATTTAAGGAAATATTGCGTGTTCAGAAATTTTTCGATAAAAATGATGTTTTTCTGTACAAAGCACCCTTTGTCATATACTTTTTACTTTTGTATCTGAAAAATGCTAATTTTGAACAAAAGTACAATTTATTGTTTAGAAAAAGTCAATATTAACTGGTGTTCTTGTACATTAGTTCCAAAAACGTCGATGTATACGTCTGTACATAGCTCCAAATTTAACTAAAAAAGTCCCATATATATTTGGTCAAATGTAGATGATAAAAAATTGAAAACTCGACCTACCCTTAGATCTCTGTTTGAATGAGTTTTGATTTTTTAATTTTTTTCTATTGTATATTTTTCTGCTGGTGCAAAAAGAATTTCACATTTTTCGATGAAATAGTTTCATCCTTAACTTACGTTGAAAAACAATTTCATAATTTCAATATTACATTAGAAGATGTTTTCTTTTTAAAGTTTAAACTTGAATTTAATTTCATTTCACAAGGAGGAGTGACTAAATCTAATGTGATAATTAAGATTTAACAAGTGGAAAAAAGACATTACTTTGGCCAAAAGCACTTCAACTCTTTTAATTATTTAATTAGAAAAGTATTAAAGAGCTCGACTTAGTGGGTAAACATATTAACTTTTAATGGAGAAGAATTGGTAGCATTGAACTGAAATTAACTGAAGCCCGTGTATACTGTATACTATATATATTTCCTACATTAGATATTTATTGTTTTCTCCTTACTAAACTTTACAAGAAGAAAGTGGATAGAACTTGTAATAGAACTGAAAAGGAAAATAATCTACAAACTAAGATGATTTTCGACGCTCCATAACTGTAATGGAATCCTTGGGATCAGAGCTTAGGAATAGGATCCATTCAATTTTGATGCGGAACCGGATCCTGGATCCGCACTAGAAAAAAATGGATCCGGATCCATGTTGTTTTTTAAAATTTACTGAATTTTTTAACAAAGCAGAATTTTCCAATTTTGTTTTATTTTGTTCGCTTATTAGAATCGGATCGTGGATTCGCATATTTTTGCGAATCTGGATCAAGGAAGCCAAAATCTTGCAGATCCAACGGATCCGGATCCTAAGCACTGCCTCAGATATTAGAAAGATTCAAATGTCGGAAAAAAATGTGTCATAGACACTTAATCGTCAGATGTGCGATTGTGAATCTCCTATGGCACTCTATTGGACGGATTTCACTTTAAGGTTGGTAGCTGAAAACTAGAAACTACAAGGTATTCAACTTAACATTAATTTAAAAATACCTATAAAAATATCAAAAGATACTTCCAGTTTTGGGATTTCCAAAATGTAACCAGCTTTTTTAGTGCTTATAAAAACCGGAGATATGAATAATTTCGTCCAGATTCTGAAAAATTTGGAAATGCCAGGACTAGAAATTCAAATATCAATGACGATCTTCAAGTCGTCCCTCAATATAAATTTTGGTGGTACACCCTGTATATTTACCTCATGCATTGAATCCCCCAGGCTTCACTGGCTCCATTAATAGCCTGCACTATTTGAAGGTTCAAGTTCTCACGCTCTCGGAATAATGCATCTAAATAAATAAACAACCATTTATCAAGAACAGTTTAAAAATATTTTAAATTTCCATCGAGAATTAAAACAAATATGTTTTTTATTGTATTTTAAAAAATGATAAACTTTTTTTCAGGGGTATGTATTCTTTTTAAAATCTTATACAGATTCCTAATTTTTTTAAGGGAACCCATGGGTATTAAAGGCTAAAAAAATACTGAAGTTTGTTCTTCAAAGTTCTAAATTTTTTTTTTCAATTGTTCTTTAAATTCCACGGGCAACGCCGAGCTAGTAATACAATAATGACAAAATAATGTTTTCTCTTATTTGAAATCTTCTTAACAAAATTATAGTCTAACTGTTTCTGGAGAGTTTGCCTTCTTTATAATCCTTGCTTATCAGTTGGAAAAAGTCTGACATACTTTACCTAAAGATATTTTCCCCAGTTCTGATCTCATCGTGGTTTGAGCAAGTTGAGTAACCGCGAACTCCGGGTCCTCTACTCCATAGCTAGACTTGTACGGATCCATTATACGCAGATACAGTACACCGTCAATATTTATAGTCACGTTATCTAAAAATAATCAATCAATCAATATAAATTCAATATTATATGTTAACCATGACGGAACCGGGAACAAAGTAGTTCTGTAGATAATAGAATTCCTGGAAAAGAGAATATATTTCTAATATTGAATATTTATTTTTAGTTGTCAGGAATGTATATTTTTAAATAAAAAACCCCCTGAGGCCGAACTTAAAATTTAAACCCCGTCTTGACGCGCCTCAAACACAGTTATATAATTAGTGTTTCGAGATTTGAGCCGGCGCTCAAGCGGAACTGGTTATTGGCGGTTCAGTGAGGAAATTAAAATTCTTCGAATTAGGCATCATGATAATTATATTTGTGTTCACTCTACAGATAAAAATCAGGAAGTCAAAGAAATTAAAACGTAACATTTTGCAGATTTTATGCGTTGTTTTTTTTAATGTGAATGGTCAAAACTTGTTTCCTTATGAAAATATGAAATTGGAGAATTGTTTATACAATAATTACCTGATGAAATAGCAGTTTGCTGAGGAATATCAATTGCTATTTCTTTTAAGCTCTGAACATATTTAACCTTAAAACAAAAATAAATTGGAATATCTTCTTTAAAAATTTAAGAAAGCGAATAATTTAGGGATATTTTGGGTTGCAGATAAAAATGTATTATTTTTTATTTCAATTTTAAACATCAAAAGTCAGAATATAAAAATGTTCTCTTACTCATGTTCAACTAAGCAAACAGAAATATGCTCGCAAGAACAGAAAAATTACCTTGTCAAGAACAGGTATAAGAATATTAATACCAGGATCCAGAATTCTAAATACATCATTCATTAATCAATCAATTAATTTTAAGCAAAACATAACATTTTTAAGAGTAAGGGGTACATATTTTAAAGAATTACCCCCCCCCCCCTCCATGAGAGGAAATGATTGTTGAAAAAAAAATGAAAGTTTTTTCGACATATCAGAGCTGAAAACTTTAGAATGGAATATCCTAAATCCTGATCGGATAATTAATCTGGAGGTTAAAAATGAGTGGAGAACAAGCAATATTTAATCTCGAGATTAAGAAAAAGAGTGGATTAAGCGATATCCACCATTCTAAAGTTTTCAGCTCAGATCATTTTACCCAAAAATTCATTTCCCTAATTGAGTAATAAAACATACATGTAGTAAATGCCCTACTCAAATTAACACTTTGATCAGTACCATTCCAGGTACAACTCAATCTGGAACTCCAGGTTCATAGGTAATACCATTGTCAATATCATTACGGATACGTATTCTCAGGTATCTGTCTTACAAGATATAATTCACTGTAATTCCCAATCTATATCTATTTCAAGATTGATTCAGGACCCCTCTCGTTCATTAAACGAGGAACAATTACTCAAAGCGGAGTATTATTACAACTAATGTTTATTTTGAGTTTGATGATACAGAGATGGAATTTAACGATTTTGAGCCGCGGCTTAAATCCGCAAAAACCCGGTTTAAATTAAGCGCCGTCTTAAATCTCTTAAAGCGCTCAAATTCTTTAAATTCGGCCACAGGTTAGATTAATCAACGTAATTACAAGTTTTACGTGGTTATTTAAAAACATAGTTAAGCTAAATCGTGATACAGGTTTTACATAGTTATTTACAAACGTAGTTAGATTACTAATGTTCAGGTTTACAGACATAGGGTCTACGACGATATTTATTACAGACATACAACCTGAGCGAAAAAGAATTTTAAAATGGGGGGGGGGGGGAATAATTTTATCATTAAAATTTACACCCCTGTAAAACATTAAATTTACCTGTGAAATTTTCCCATTCTCTCGACCACCCAGGCTTCCTGCTGTGGGACGAACATGACGACTGTATTGAGGGGTGTATTGTGCTTCCATCGTGCTGGAGCACGTCCGGCAACGTTTAGCGCGCAGGAGAACTGATCTTTTCCAAGAACTGAACTACAAACCTTAAATAAAATTAATATAGAAATAAAATAATCTTACAAAGCAATTAACTATATTAAATGAAAAATAGAATGTTCTGAACTTATTTTGAGAAGACATTTATCGCTTATATATATATATATGTATATATCAAAAATTTCTTTTTGACTTAAAAGACTTAAGAGTCAACATTAATGACTAAAGACTAAAAAACTAGATTTTTAACTTTTCACACATTATAGTTTATTAAGACAGATATTTTTCCTGTTTTGCATTAGGGTTTTTTCCCTTAAGCATTCTATTGAGAAGCTATTCTGAAAATAGGAACAAAAAAATCCAAATTCAGGGGGGGCTACGCCCCTCCCTGAATCTGCCAGGGGGGGGCGAATGTCCCCCCTCCCCCCCTGACTGGTTTTCGTAAAGTTAATATTTATCAAAGGAGTTAAGAAAAACATTGTCTAACCTAACCTTACCCTAACCCTGAAAATTATGGGTAATGTACAAAATTTATAGGAAGGGTGGCGGGGAGGGGGGGGCAAAAATCGTTCTCTAGGACAGACCCCTTTTGAAATATATATTAAGATACAGGGTCCGTCCTAGAGAACGATTTTTATAACCCCCCCCCCCCCTCCTTTCAATTTTGTACATGACCTCTAGTTTATCAGTAAATTATTATCTATTTTTTAAGGTTAGGTTAGGCGGCTAGGACAGGCTAGGAGGCCGAGCGCTGAGGCTAGGACCGGCTAGTGGGCCGAGCACCGCGGTTAGGATGGCTAGGGGGTCGGGCGCTTCGGTCACATGACCAATTTTATCCGTGTTACATATGAGATCCATGTACATAATTGATAGGAGGGGGGGGGGCGGTGACCAAATTAAATCGTTCGTTAGGACATTGCCTATTTAGATGCCTATCCTATTCTATTTAGATGCCTATTCTATTCCTAACACCACAATGCTGATTCCTAATTTAGATAAACTAAACGTATAACTCTTAGATTTAAATAAAATAGGTCAGAATTTGATCTATATTTAATCAAATAAAAATCAACTTCCACATCTCCAATAATACAGATAAGTAAAAGCACACTTTGGAGAGCTCAAAAAAAGATTTCTTATTTGTAATAATTTAGCAACAGTATAGATTAAGGAAGTGCTTAAAATATTGTGGTCAGGAATCTAATTATACGTCAACTTACCCTATAATTTCCAATTGTCGGCCGTAAAATCGACCGCGTAAGAGAGAGCGCCATTTTTCTAATCAAGAAAATACTTTTCAATACTTCAATATAGAAAGTAACTTTTTTTCTAGTGAAAGAGTTACGATATATTTCATGAGATTATATCAGTGTCTGCACAGTGAGATTGCCGACTGAAACAGCTGATCATATCACAGTGTACACTTAAAATCTTATAAAAATACTATGTCGTCTTTAATTTTTATTTTCTTTATATGATTAAAATAAATATTAGGGCTTTTGAAATTAGGTATTACAATTTGCTAATTCATAACAAAGACAGACGATATCGAATTCGTCACTGAATTCCCATGTTTTTTTGGGACACCCTGCAGTAAAACAGTTCTTTTGATACTGATAATGGCCCTATTTTGAAAAAAAAAAAATTTTTAATCGACTAAACAATATACAAAGCTGACATGTTTTCCAAGATTAAATAAAAAGGATGGGGGCAAAATACGCACAATGCGACATTTTTGGTCTGCAAAGAACCCTGAATGCAAGAAAACGGACTAAATAAATTCCGTACAATCTTCTCTAAAGTCTCATCTTATATAAGTACTCGGGATATGCATTTCGTCAAATTAAATCCACCACAGGGGCGGAACTTCCAATTTATGAAGTATCCAGGGGCGAATACAGGGGGGGGGGGCGGCAGGACCTTCGCACCCCCCTGAGATTTCAGAATAGTTTCTTAAAAGCACTTAAGGGAAAGAAAACCTAATGCAAAACAGGAAAAATATCTATCTTAAAAAAATTTCGCACGTTTTTTGTTCCTAAATCTGAATATTTTTTGTTCCGAAATTAATCTTGCACCCCCTCCCTTAAATCCTGTATATCCGCTCCTGATCCACCAAACTATCCTAATTCCTAATCCTCCTTCATAATCTAATATTTAAAATTTGTAAAGGATTTGAACAAAAACTTTTATTGAGGAATAATAAAAATCATTCTAATACGTTTAGAAGTTAACATTAATTGATTCTTAAATAAAACTTCAAAACGCAATCATATTATTATGTTAATGTACGCCATAATTGAAAAATATATGTTTATAAACTCAATAATTGACAAATATATTTATGTATGCCATAATTGACAAATATATGTTTATAAACTCAATAATTGACAAATATATTTATGTATGCCATAATTGACAAATATATGTTTATAAACTCAATAATTGACAAATATATTTATGTATGCCATAATTGACAAATATATTTATGTACGCGATAATTGAAAAATATATTTATATACGCGATAATTAATAAATATATTTATGTACTCAATAATTGGCAAATATATTTATGTACGCGATAATTGACAAATATATTTATGTACGCGATAATTGACAAATATTATGTACGCGATAATTGACAAATATATTTATATACTCGATAATTGACAAATATATTTATTTACGCGATAATTAATAAATATTATGTACGCGTTTATTGACAAATATATTTATGTACGCAATAATTGACAAATATATTTATGTTCGCGATTATTGACAAATATATTTATGTACGCGATAATTGACAAATATATTTATGTACGCGATAATTGAGAAATATATTTATGTACGCGATAATTGACAAATAAGTTTGTATATAGACAGTAATGCACAGTTTTAATTTTATGTACGTGATAATTTACAAATATGTTTATGTACACAATAATTGACAAATATGTTTATGTACGCATTAATTGACAAATATGTTTATATAAGCAATAATTGACAAATGTGTGTATGTAAGCAATAATTGATAAATTATGTTTATGTAAGCAATAATTGATAAATATCTTTATGTAAGCAATAATTGACAAATATGTTTATGTAAGCAATAATTGATAAATATCTTTATGTAAGCATTAATTGACAAATATGTTTATGTAAGCAATAATTGACAAATATGTTTATGAAAGCAATAATTGACAAATATGTTTATGAAAGCAATAATTGAAAAATATGTTTATGAAAGCAATAATTGACAAATATGTTTATGTTCCCGATTATATTGAATTGAAATACTAATCAATCATGCTTTACATGTATGTTAAGTCACAGATCAATAAATATAGAAGTTTTAGAGTGAAGAGGACAAAAACACTTGTATTAAATGTATAAAACACCTTTATGCAGACAATATACTGGCTTCTACAAAATTGTCTTTATGTTTTATAATTGAAAATTATGTCTTCTTTTAGAGTTCTTCAGAGGTAATTCAGCACCGGGTGCAAACGTAAATGTTCATTATTTATTTCAGTAGTTCAATTAGATTTTTCATATTTAAAAATATTACCTTGCTACTTTTTTCTTTTTCTTCTTCTAAAACTCCCTAAAAGTTAGAACATAAGGAAATTAGAATTATGTCAATGAGCAGTGTAATTCGTAAGATTTTTTTCTAAACTGTATTTGATGAGTTTAGATCATTTAGGTGCAATTTATACTTTACAGAGAAGTTAAGGGAATTTTACTTTAGCAAGACCACAATGGGTCGGGGAACCCATGGGTTAGTAAAATTTCCCAGAAAAAATAGTTCTACATAATTTTATCGTCTTGTAAAATGAAATGGCACAAGTTTTTCACAAAAAAACATTGTAATTTGCAGAGAGGGAGATTATTTTACTTAATGGTCCCTAGGGATGTTAAGTTACTTAATCTTGGAGGAATCATGAGTCGGTAATGTTGGTGAAATGGTGGTTTAAAAATACAATAAAAATTATTTGCATTACAAAATGTCTTACATTAGCAACACTAACACTATCCATAACCTCCTCTATAGTTAGCCCAGGTAGAAGATGTGAGGCTGACCCGCTTCCAACCTGAATATGTATCACTATACAGGTACAGGCCAAATAAACATTGACATTTTAGAGACGACTTGAAAATCGTCTTGGTTTTTTGATGGTTGATAAAAGAATGTGTCAAAATTAAAACTGAGCCTTTGAAAATGCGGTATGCCTTTGATGTATCTTCAAAATTGACAGAGATATTTAAGAATTGAAAGATTTCGTTGTTATTGTATAAATTAGAATCTTAACAGATTTCTTGACATCTTCGTCAATTTTGAAGGTGCAAATATCGTATATCCCAAGAATAGTAGTTTTAATCATTAACTGTTTTAACTGGATTACGTACTACAAAGATTGTGTTCACGCGGTAAAAATTCACTTAATTACCAGGCTTATTGGGACACCTTCTGTATAAATAATTTTATTTAGGGAGAAGGTTTCGTCAAAGAACAATACTTTTTGAAAATTAACTAAAATTTCAGTATTAACTCATTACTGGCCGGCACCCTTTTTTAAACTTTCCGGTATTCCGTCTTATCCATTCAGAGTCAGTCAATTTTATTGATGACGATTTAGAACCAATAAAAATTGCAACGGCAGTAACATTTTTCTATGCTAATATCTATCTCATCATCCAAATAAATCCTGATATCAGCGCTAAACAGTAAACGGATACAAGGGTGATGGATGAAAACCCCGTTTATTGAAAAACGAAAATATAGGTTTTTCTTAAAAAGTTCTTAATTTTTATGGACCTTAGTTTCCCATTCCTGCATATTTTCCATAAACTCTTCTTCATCCTTCATCCTGCTCATCCTTAGTTTGAGGCTTAGGAATAATAATTATATCAAAGATAAACCTTAGATTCTCACACTTTATTTCAACTCGCCAAAAGCAGACTTTTTCGTAAGTATTTTTGATTTAAAAAGAGAACTTTTTTAACCAAAGAGAATAGATTAGAGAAAATCAAATAGTTTTCAAGAAAACTTATCTATATAGCACAAATGTGTAAAGTACACCTGCAGTATGGAAACAGTACAACAAAATTGCCGTTCTACACTTTTTTTCGAGTAAATTTCACTATATTTATAATCTATTCTCATGGCGTACTTCATGTAGCACATCGTGTACTGCATGTGCACTTGCTTATTCAGAAGTCAAACAGTCCTTTTAAATCAGAAATACTTACGAGGAAGTCTGGATTTGGCGGGTGGAAATACAATGCACCTAAGAACAGAGTTTTTCCTCATGTAATAAATAGGAAAGTTAAGGGAATTATTTTACCAAGATAAAATCTTTATTTCCCAAGGGACCTAGTGAAAATAAAAAAAGATATGTAAAAGTTCATGTCATAATCGATTTTAAGCAGAATCGATAATTTTTTGTATGATATCCAGGTACGCCGTGGTAGACCAGTAACCAATATAATGCAACCAACATTCTCTGTTTGTGAGATACTCTTGATTTATGACACGGAATTTATGTAATAAAATATAAATAAATTTTGAATTATATCGGTTTATATTTTTTGGAATACTTAGCCATGATATCATGCAGAGCTGTTTTAGAATATAATGTACGCACTTTGATAAGATGTGTTCTTTATGTATACTTCATATCGATTATGTTATAATTTCAGGGTTAAATATCCCAAACATTTTTAAACAAAAAAGAATCGATTTAATTTTTGAGTTTCAGACTCAGCACATGTAAAGCATTTGTATTACTCCAGTATTCCTAAGCTGATCTATTGGGGAATTGAAGTTCTCATTTTCCTAAATATAAATATTTTTTAAACCTTGAGAGATTTTGAAGTTTAAAATCGATTGTCAAAGTTTAAACCCAGAAACTTTGAAGTTTTTAAATCTGTTGTTAAAGTTTAAACTTAGAAACTTTGAAGTTTAAAATCTATTGTCAAAGTTTAAACCCAGAAACTTTGAAGTTTTTAAATCTGTTGTTAAAGCTTAAACTTAGAAACTTTGAAGTTCAAAATCTATTGTCAAAGTTTAAACCCAGAAACTTTAAGATTTATATAATCTGTTTTAAAGTTTAAACCTAGAAAATTTGAAGTTTAACATCTTGTGTCAAAGTTTAAACCCAGAAATTACAAGCAATTACAAACTCAAATGTTCTAATCCCTATATCTGTGCAACTTCATGATGTAAACCTTTGATATTTGAAACGTAGACTATTTAATCTATTGAACCAGAGAAGACCTAATCATCTTTCACTCCTGTAATACAATCGTTATTTATCATGTATTTATATCTAGAAGAAATAAATGTATACTTCTAAAGTGGTGACCCCAGACAACAAACGAACCATGGCCT